TCGGTTAACGACTTTGAAAATAAATATCACAGGTACAAAATCTGAATCTGAAATTTTCGTGTTTCAATGTAACTGAATATTTCATCATTGAATCGGCTTGGTACATATAATATCTGATCTTTATTCAAATCTGAAACACAGTATGTTGTTCACGCTTTCAATAAACTTTTTATGTGACTTTCTATATTTATTGTAATAGTGTACTGATATTAATTACAAATTGTTTGCAGTGTAAAAACTCATTTAATTTTATTACTCAAGATTATAGTTTTTTGGTGTCGATTTTCCTGAAAATTAATTCATTCACTAAAAAACTCTGTGGTTGAGTATTGTATATTTCAGGTCCATGATGTGTATATTATTGCATGTGGACTCTGTGATGCATACAATTTGAATGCTTTCATTTTTTAAGATCAATATACTTGTCTTTGTTTAAAGTTGGAATACACGTAATGGAATATTTTACTTTACTGTTCGTTGTTCACTTTTATGTAGTTCATCACAGCTGAATGTATAAAAATATTAACGTTTATGCAAAGATGCATTTTAGCCCGATGACTTATACGCTCATCGTGAAGTAGCACTTTCCTGTATCATGCTCTGTGATCTTTATTGAATAAGCAACCTTACCACATAGTTTTGCGAATCTGTATTAGCATAGGATCTGAATATTTATTGTTGAATGAGGTTTATAGTATTTTTGACTTGTACTGAGTTAAAATGACTTTAGTAAAACTCGTTGTATTTACTAAAGTCAACAAATTCATAATCAACTGTTATACTTGGTTGTTCAGTCAAACTAATTGCCACTGATATTAAAGAGCTTTATTGCGTCTGTTTACATACTAGTAGGTTTCCGACCAGGACAATATGAAGAGAATTGACGATCATTATCTAATGAATCGATACTTTTTTCGAAATTGTCTGTATATATTGTAATTAACAGAAGGATGTCTTGGAGCTAGACTGCTGACTGATGTTGACGCAAACGAAGCTCTGTAGAGGGCATCCAATCTGTTCTATGTAGACAAACAGACAGGACAGATTACAACGCAGAACTTCTTACGTACGCACATCAGTTCAGGTCGCCATGCCACATCAGTGCGGAGACGCAAACTGCCAATTTATATCTAAGAGTGATAGCAATAATAGAAGCATTAGCAGTAAAGGAGAAGATTAAGGATCGAATATATGATTCGAGAAGTATAATTCAGTAAGATGAAATTAGAAGAGAAGAGAATATGAGGAATGAAGAAGAACAAAATTAGAGAGAACAACAAAGAGTGGATGCACCAGCTTAACTGCAAACGATTCTGAGCCATGTCGTTCAAAGTCTCTAACTATCTGTGATTATCGTCTCGCGGACCTCAACCACCTAGCCTACATCTACCAAACATGACTCAGTCCACTTGTCATTGGCTTCATGCACTTTTTCCAGGTTCTGGTTTGACCGCTCCTAGCTTTCGAACCACCTTTTCCTACACCGAAAGATATAGCTCGATGAGGCAGTCGGTGGTTAGTCATAGGTAACACATGTCCCAACCACCTCAACTAGTGGAGTTTCAATACTTTATCTATTGACCAGCCATTCTTACCTAGTACCCGTTTCTTAATAACAGCGTTGCTCACTCTGGTATCACACGATATACGAGCAATGCTTCGAAGACACCTATGGTCGGAAACAAGCAACCTACGAATATCTTCTACTCTGACTGACCATGTTTCACAGCCATATAGAGTAGGACGGAGCTAACTACTGCGCAAAACACTCGTCCTTTAGTCAGTAAACGGATATCTCGTCTACGCCATAAGTGACGCAGGTCGGCAAAAGCCAGTCCAGCCTTCTGTATCCATGCCGAGATTTCGTCACACACCAGGCCATCAGCACTGATGAGACTCCGTAGATAAGTGAGGCGGTCTACACGCTCGACTATTTCACTCGCTATCACTAGTTTAAGTACAGATGCAACCCAATCTTGCATTGTTGCTTAGGGTAGTCAGAAGACTCTGCATTTTGTCAGTGTCTTCATCAAGTAGAACTATGTCATCTGCATATTCTAAGTCAACCAACGAATCACCTGGTAGAATGTCCACGACTGAAAATGTGGACGAAGATAATGTTATATCTAGAAGCAGGTCTGTGACAAAATTAAACAAGAACGGAGAAAGTCGGCATCGCTGACGGACACCACTTGAAGTAGCCAATTTCGATGACAGTTTGCCATAAGCTCTCACTCGACCTGTAGTGTTCGAGTACAGAGCTTGTATAAGGTTAATGTACTTCTCTGGTACATCTTTCAATGACAGACACTGCCACAGAACCTCAAGATCCACAGAGTCGAATGCCGCCTTAAGGTCCAAGAAGACAACTATTGTGGGACGCCTAAATGTGTGTGTGTGTTCCAGGACCTGTCGTAGTGTGAGAATGTGGTCTATACAGCCACGTCCAGATCTGAAACCAGCCTGGTTTTCTCTAGTCTGCTCTTCACGAGCTCTATCTAGGTGTGTAAATATTATCAAGGCTAACAATTTAGACACCATATTAATTATACTGGTTCCTCTGTGATTGTCACAAGAGGACTTTTGTCCTTTCTTATAAATTGGGACAATAAGGGATTCAGATCAGTTGGATGGGATTACGCCTAATTCTAAAATTCTACCTATGATCTCAGTCAATCTAACTTCGAAAACTGTAACACCACCTGCTAAAACTGGACCACCATCCTTAAAAATCTCAGGGGTCAGTCTATCAGGACCCGCTTCTCTCTCTCGCTTTAGATTTGCTATAACTTTCTCAACTTCATAAACATTCGGCGGGCTCACGTCGACTTATCATTCAGGTTGACTGGAGATCGTGGGCAACCGAAGTGTGGCTGAAGGCCAGTTGAACTGATCCCTAAAGTGTACTGCCCATCGATCCAATCTCCTGTGTTGAGAATGAAAAATAAGACCATCCATTGCCGAGATTATTTCATTTCCAGTCGGATTCTTAATACCGGTCTCCTTGATGAGTCTAAATAGTTGCCTACTGTTGCCTATCGCCGCTGCCTTTTCCATCTCTCTCACTTTCGCTACCCACCACTGTTCGTGATCATTGCGTAAGCTTTTTATCAGCCTACGCCTAAGTTGACTTCGCTCCTCATCGCACTCAGAGCCAGGCGGGGTGAGCTTTCGAGCATCCATCAGTTCCGTAGATGCTACTGAGATTCACGGCTTCATTACAGCCTTATGGTTTACCTTACTAGCACATATCACTGCTGTTTCCACAGCTTTTTTGATATCATTCCAAGCTGCCTCAGGGTGGACATCACTTACTATATGGCGGTCTAACTGTTTTTCTAGTTGTTGATTCTGTGTCTCGACATGGTGAAATCAAATCGATTATTTTACCCTTATCGTGTTTGTGTGTTTTGGTGACGCAATATTCATTGATGATCCGGGATTACATATTTCCAGTTGATGAAGCCTGTAGCCCTATTTGGCCCAAGGTTGGAACATTAGAAGCTCCATTTGTAGTTCGGAGCTGGGCTTCAGAAGGCAACGGATAACGTTTCGTGAGCTCAAACCGTTTGCTTTAGCGGCGTGAGGTGACAAACGATCGAAAGAATGGTTGTTCATTGGGATAATTGAGTTATTGGGAGGCGTATGAAGGATTTGATTCTGACTAATTTGGTCTCGTGTGCTTTTATGGGCATGAGGGCGGATGGAACTTCCAGTCTGCCTACACCGTGGAACGGTTCTGGTTCTCAGAAGGGGCGTCGGCCTCGTGACTTTCAAAAGAACTCCTCTTTCATCATGAGACATATCTCTTCTAAATGAAAACCTTAGAACTCTCAGGGCAGAGTTTTTATGGCTACAATTATTTTTTCTTGTTAACGTTTTTTACCGAACTAGTTTTCTGTACGATGGGGTGGTCAACTTTATGTCCAACCATCCTTCTTCACCGTGTTTGGGACCGGCAGTAGCATCGAAAGGGTGTACTTTTGGAGTTACGCAGTAGAATTGAACGACATTGTATCAGCTTATATCAGTTCGTGAAAAACCAAACCATACAGATTCAAGCCATTACTCAGCCTGAAATGATTAGATGACTGTTTCTATGTGGTTTACGACTCCTTTAGAGTAGTAAATTGTCATGATCTCACGCGGACTACAAATTATAAAATTGTAGAGTTTCGTGGTAGTCAGGCGCATAATTTTGTGAGATTAGTGAGTTAATATTTCGAAGCCTGGAATTTCGAATTTTACCTCTATCTATCCTCTATCTAACGACCATGTAAAATACTATATATTTTAATTCTAGGTCAGTGTTACTGTTCTAACAGGACTTGATTGAGTTACGTGCATTCATATATAGGGTTATTATTGAAACCCATAGCTAATGGATTCTAAACTATGACATGAAATAAATCCAGCATTTACTGTTTTGTATTCGATTTCCAGATGACATCATTTATGTCACTTCTAAACTGTACCATTTCTTCACCAAAGCACTCAAATAAATGAGATGATTAACGTGTTTCTCAATACCTATAGGTTATCACTTTCATATCTTCTAAATCACAACTCGGTCTTAGACCATCACTGATGCCAAGCCATGTATGTGCACAACTGAGTCACATTGTAGGGCGAAATGGCCATCCAGTGTTTTTAGATTTTCAGTAGTGGTCTAACTATAATAATCTTTGATTTGAAATCTATGAATAGTCTATGATCTTCATAAACCTCTGAAAATCATCATTCTCTTGGCAGAAATTAAAATCATTTTGATTCTTTTATGAACGAAATCATTTAGCCACCTCATGCTTTGAAAAATTCCTATATGCTTGCTTATTCTATCATAACACAAGTATATGAAATTAAAAGCGAAAAAGATTCAGTAGACACGTTCACCGTAAATTACTTAGCACATATTTATTATGAAATTTCCAAAATTCTGTTTTTCTTTCTAGAGTGGATTCACTCCACTTCATATTGCTGCACATTATGGTAATGTTAATATGACTGAATTGTTGATATCACGAGGTGCTAATATTAATTTTCAAGCCAAAGTAAGTTACAATAAAACTTTTTATAACTTCCTTTTGACACTATATGAATTAACACAATATTGTCGATTTAATAGTGGCCATAAATGTAAATCTAAACTATATTTTCTACATGCATACTCATTGATTATTGACAATTTTCATATACCTTTAGTCGAAAATAGTTTAGTTTATGCAAAGAAACCAACTAGTTTCTTGTAGAATAGACGATAAATGATCCCCAGTCAACTGATCATTGAAAAGTGACCACTGTCATATTTTTCTAGTAATGTTAGTGCTGCCCGACTAAGTTGCACTGTAACCTCTAGTCTAAGTGACTAGACTACATTGACTAGGTTTAGATGTTAGGCAGATGAAGATAGTTTGTAGAATGCCTTGCCTAACGTAGATTTCGTACTTGTTAGCATTCATTAGCAAGGTGTGTCTGTAACTTGATGGCACAGATGCTCCTTTGTGAATTTGAATCCTTCTCGATCACCACCTGAACAGTTCTGTGATAAAGTTTTAGGCTGAGGCTTATTGTGACATAGCCGCTCAATAATGTCACGCGACAAAACCACTAATCAGAATACCGAATCATACGTCCTTGTCTCTCAGCTAACTGTTGACTCGCCAACCAGCATTAGTGGCCTCAAAGTACTACTAAGTTCTCACGGGTCCTATATTCGTTATTTTTTCTCCTTGTCCTGCCATTGAGTGCAGAACTCAGTAATCACCATACACTATACGAGTAACATATTTCAAACTTACTTAGATTACATACAGACGTACTCGGCTACATCACAAGATAAAATGGAGTTCTACAGCAGAACTAGCTCTCAAATGCTCGGAGGCTCATCCCGTCTGTCTCTGATCACAATAAGTAGCGAAGGCAGCGTAAACACAGGGAAATAAGAAGCCTATGCAATGATCACGAACAGTGATGATTAGCGAAAGTGAGAGAGATGGAAAAGGCAGCGGCGATAGGCAACAGTAGGCAACTATTTAGACTTATCAAGGAAATCAGCATTACACATCTGACCGCAAAAAGATGGGGCTATTATTCATTCTCAATTCAGCAGATGGTCCGATGGACAGAACATTTTAAGGAGCATTTGAACTGGCACTCAGTGACACTTCAGTTAACCACGATCTCCAGTCAAACTGAATGGCGAGTTGATTTAAGTACTTCCACTCTTAAAGTGGTTAAAAAGGCTGTCGGAAATGTGAAGTGAGGAAGAGCAGCAGATATTGAAAGATTAACCGTTGATAGTGATGTTACAGTTTTCGAAGTTAGATTGGCTGAGATCATAGGTAGAATTTTAGAATTAGGCGTAATCCCATCCAACTGATCTGAATCCCTTATTGTCCCAATTTATAAGAAAGGACAAAAGTCCTCTTGTGACAATCACAGAGGAATCAGTATAATTAATATGGTGTCTAAATTGTTAGCCTTGATAATATTTACACACCTAGATAGAGCTCGTGAAGAGCAGACTAGAGAAAACCAGGCTGGTTTCAGATCTGGACGTGGCTGTATAGACCACATTCTCACACTACGACAGGTCCTGGAACACACACACACACATTTAGGCGTCCCACAATAGTTGTCTTCTTGTACCTTAAGGCGGCATTCGACTCTGTGGATCTTGAGGTTCTGTGGCAGTGTCTGTCATTGAAAGATGTACCAGAGAAGTACATTAACCTTATACAAGCTCTGTACTCGAACACTACAGGTCGAGTGAGAGCTTATGGCAAACTGTCATCGAAATTGGCTACTTCAAGTGGTGTCCGTCAGCGATTCCGACTTTCTCCGTTCTTGTTTAATTTTGTCACAGACCTGTTTCTAGATATAACATTTTCTTCGTCCACATTTTCAGTCGTGGACATTCTACCAGGTGATTCGTTGGTTGACTTAGAATATGCAGATGACATAGTTCTACTTGATGAAGACACTGACAAAATGCAGAGTCTTCTGACTACCCTAAGCAACAATGCAAGATTGGGTTGCATCTGTACTTAAACTAGTGATAGCGAGTGAAATAGTCGAGCGTGTAGACCGCCTCACTTATCTACGGAGTCTCATCAGTGTTGATGGCCTGGTGTGTGACGAAATCTCGGCATGGATACAGAAGGCTGGACTGGCTTTTGCCGACCTGCGTCACTTATGGCGTAGACGAGATATCCGTTTACTGACTAAAGGACGAGTGTTTTGCGCAGTAGTTAGCTCCGTCCTACTCTATATGGCTGTGAAACATGGCCAGTCAGAGTAGAAGATATTCGTAGGTTGCTTGTTTCCGACCATAGGTGTCTTCGAAGCATTGCTCGTATATCGTGTGATACCCGAGTGAGCAACGCTGTTATTAAGAAACGGGTACTAGGTAAGAATGGCTGGTCAATAGATAAAGTATTGAAACTCCACTAGTTGAGGTGGTTGGGACATGTGTTACCTATGACTAACCACCGACTGCCTCGAAGAGCAACGTAGTCCTGTGTTGGTATAGTCTGGAAGCAATCTCAGGGCCGCCATGCCAATACATGATGCAATTCCGTGAAATCGCCGACAAGTGGACTGAGTTATGTTGTTAGGTGTTGACTGTGTAGTTGGGGACTGCGAGACTATAATAATCGATGGTCGGCGACCCTGAATTGTATCACGAACAACGGTATACAGTAGTGAAGGTCCTTGTTTTCTCTGTGTTATCTCATATTCCAACCTTAAGAGTTCTTTATCAATTTTTTGTTTCTGTTTTTCAATTTATTGTATTGGATCCTTCTGCTTGAATAATACTGTCAAACCGCGAAATTTCCTATTATTGCTAGTATATCTACTTTTTTTACTTCTGTACGATTTCAAGTGAAAATCGCATTTCTTTGTTATTTTGGTACGGCAACTTGAATTGATGTTCGTACTTACTAAGTTCTTTGTTGTTGTTGACTGACTGAGGTGGTCGGGCCATGTGTTACGTATGCCGAACCACCGACTGCCTTTACGAACGAAGTTGTCTGATGTAGGTATACGCAGGAAGAATGCTCAGGGCGGCCTAACCAAAACGTCGCACAAGTTCGTGAATTCACTAACAAGTGTATTGAGCCATATTCGTTGGTTTGGAGTACTAGGTACGTGTTTGTGAGACAATCGTAACTGGTTGTTGAAGACTTTAAATGACATTACTGATAATCGTTTGCAATGGGGCAGATACATCCATCTTTTGTCTTCTCCCAAATTCTATGCTTAAGATATCTTCATGACATTTCTTTTTTAAATGTGTTGTTTGGTCAACGAGAAGTGATATACGTACTTACCAAGTTCCACTTGGTTACAGGTTGGCTGTTACATAGTTTAGTTTAATTTATTTTAAAGAATATTTCTTTGTTTTCATATAATGTTCGTTAAATATTGATTTCAAGGATGTCGAATCTGTAGTCCTAGTACAATCTAACATTTCAGTGTAAGCTAATCTGTTAACTGAACTCTAATTTCAAACGTCTAATTCTTGTGGCAGCTTTGCGTTAATTATGTCGAACTACTTTTGTTAAAGTTTTTGTTTTTCTACTCTCTCTGTCTCCTCTCTGAACAGAATAATATAACACCACTGCATGTGGCATGTAAATGGGGCAATCAAGGTGTAGCTGAACGTTTAATTACAGCTGGTGCGGAACTTGACTGTCGTACACGTGATGGATTAACTCCATTACACTGTGCTGCTAGATCTGGACATGATACAGTTGTCCAATTGTTATTAAGAGCTGGAGCAAATATCTCCTCTAAAACAAGAGTATGCTGAAAATTATTCTCAGTAGTGTATTTTCACATAGTTTTTTATTCAAATGTTTGTTGTATATGGCTTTTTACACAAAAGAAACTCATTAAATTTATCACTCACTGATACAGAAGTTCAAATAGACTCATTCGGACCATTCTAGTGGTACTTCACCTTTTAACTGATAAAAATATGACTCGAATACTAGTACATGGATGTATATATACCTTGAAGATTTTTTACCAACGTTTCGCTGAAGTTTTTATTTTCTATGTCCTCGTCAGAGAGCAGCATCTTTTTGATATATGATCCGACCGTAGCTTCTACCTTGCCTGAAAGTCCTGTTCACCTATCGTCTTAACCCGACCGAGCTATACTGTCTGAAACATATGTTCCTGTAGGTTCTACTATGCCAGACAAGTCGATTGGAGAACGGTATGACTAAAGCAGCAACTGAAGGTCTGAGGGTTCATTCGTACGGCTGACTGTGGAGAAGTGTGATGTCGCTAAGTTTGGAGCTAATCTTACTTAATTTTCAGGTTCTTCAAGAAGCACTGTTCCACGATGTGGGTAGCATCAGTGCAACTCCTTTTGTATGTGGAGCATTTTTTCTTCATGGCCAGAGTATAACAGCATCTCTCCTGAAGCTAATCTTTTTTGTCCAACATGTGTTCAATGTGTTTCACTAATTCCAATTACCGCCAGATTGTATCTTTCCATTTCCACAGCAACTTGAATTACTCTCCTAATCTCCCACATTGTACGAACATTCCATGCACCTAAATTAATAGTTGCTCTAATTGTCAGAAGGGGAATTAGCCTCGTGACTTCCGAAGGAACTCGGCTTTCATCATGAGACATCATAACTCTTCTAAATGAAAACCTTTGAACTCTCAAGACAGAGTTTATATGGTTTGAATTATTTTTTCTGGTTAGCGTTTTGTTGGCAAGTTGGGTTTTTTCGTGATGGGTCGTTAACCTCATACCTAATCCTCTTCCTTTATGCGGGCTTGGAACTGTCAATAATTCCAGAGGGTTGAGTTTTGATTTTCTCTTTGGATTTTAGTAGATATCTAGCTTGATATTAATTGTCCTAATTCCATAAATTTCAACCTAGATTTTTGTAAACGAAGTTAAATTCTATGTCATCTGCCGAAACACGATACTAATTAATTTGTATAATTTTTCGAATCTTAATTTCCAGAAGAGATTGTTGTCTTTCACATGATCATGATCAGCACTTGTGACTGTAAAAAATACTGTATGGACAAATAATGTTGTCAATAGTAATTCTGTGCAAAATTATTTACGAAGTAATGAGGTTTGTATTCAACTCAAATGAGATTGTCTGCATGTAAAAGGACAGTAGGGCTAACTGACTTCGATGGGTATTTATTGGATGAAATCGATCAGTCTTCGTTAGTATTATAGGCTTTTTGAACGTATGATCACGACACTTCTTTCACATACCATGTGAATGACGATGCAATACAGTATATATAATAGCTGAAGACTTATGAAACCATACAATCTTTATGTTCGGATATTTATATGATATGAAGTTATGATGAAAATTGTCCTCTGATATAACATTGATTCATCCGCTCACTATCTTTACTCGCACACGTAAATAGGTTTTCTTACACAATGGTACTGAAAGTCGACTGCCATATTATCCGTACTCTATTTTCTAAAATTTTTCACTTGTTTTAATTCCAATGCTAACACATACTTTCACTGTTCTTTGTTATTTTAATTATGCGACTTATTTTTATCTAGAGTGGTTTAAATGCTTTACATATGGCAGCTCAAGGTGATCATGCGGATACTGCATGTTTACTGATACAACACGGAGCACAACCCGACAATCCAACAATCGATTATTTAACTGCATTGCATGTTGCTGCACATTGTGGTAATGTACGTGTAGCGAAGTTATTGCTTGAGCGTGGATGTGACGTCAATGCAAGAGCATTGGTAAGTCTAATTTTTATTTACACTTTTCTTTTACTATGTTGGAAAAATGCCTTCACTTACATTACGAAATAAATCTTGTAGAATGGTAATATTTCTAAATTGTAGATACCTTTTATCGTGTCTATCCAGATTGTATTTGATTTAAATTTTGAATGATATTCTTTCAAGTTAATAAATTGACAAGAGGATTTTTTTAGTTTCAAAGTTTTCCAGATGGAGACTGCTTATGACTAAAGTTAATTGCTAATATATGCCTATGAAAAAACCGTATTAGGTTTCGTTTATTGAACAGTCGATATTTTAAAGTTAACATCATGGATCGACTTCAGTCAAACCGCTGTTGAAAACTAGAAACAACCGGACTGCTGTTTTGCTTCAGTACTAAAATTTCCGTAGTACTCATCAACTTAACAAGTGTCTAGCAGTTAAACTGCAGGTATTAACTGGCTTATGGTCTCGATTCTCAATAAAGTTGTGAATATACATTAATGAGGTGTGCAATACTCGGGTAATCATTTCATGAAATGAAGTAATGTTGATATTGTGTACATCAGTCATTAAATTTTTACATTTGTAATGAGAGAAGTGTTTAGAACACTTGTTACATACACCAAGTTATCATCTGTTTTACACTAATATCCTGTTTAAATAAAGAATACCTTATAACTAACGCCTGTTACTCCTAGCAGAGCTTGGACTGCCCTGGGCCTTCCTTTCAGATTTAACCCAATTGTTCCTCATTATTCTCAGATCCACAGAGTCAGTCAATCAGTTGCAACGTAGAACTTCGTACGTGTGTACATCAGTTCAGGTTGCCATACCACATTAACACAAAGAAGCAAATGTCATATCAAATCCCATTGAGATAAAGATAGTAAAGGTATTAATGGTAATGAAGAAGACTAGGGTTTGAAGATATTATTCAAGAAGTATAATTCAATGAGATAAGGTTAGAAAGACAAAGGTAGAGATGCTGACGAATCCAGAAAATTAGGATTTGAGCCATGTTATTCAAGGTCCCTAACCATTGGTGACTTTCGTCTCGCGGACCATAACCACGTAGCCTACATCTACCAACATGACTCAGTCCACTTGTCAGTGACTTCATGGATTTCTGCCATGTTTTGGTCTGGCCGCCCCTAACTCTCTTCCAGGTTACTCCTACATTACAAAACATCTCTCGTCGCGGTAGTCGGTAGTCAGCCATACGCAACAAATGTCCCAACCACCTCAACTGATGAAGTTTCAATGCTTCATCTATTGATTTGCCATCCGTACCTAGTACTCGTTTCCTAACGACAGCATTGCTTATAAGGTTGTCCCATGATACACGAGCAATGCTCGGGAGACATCAATGATCGAAGACTAGTAAGCTACGGAAGTCGTCTACTCTTAACAGCCATGTTTCGCATCCATATAGGATAACGGAGCGAACTGCTGCGCAGTACACTCGTCCTTTGGTTAACAAGCGGATATCTCGCCTGTGCCATAAGTGACGCAGGTTGGCAAAAGCCAATCGAGCCTTCTGTATCCGAGCTGAGGTTTAGTCAGTCGCCAGGCCATCAGCACTAATGAGATTCCCCAGATAGGCGAAGCAGTCTACACGTTCGACTACTTCATTGCCTATCACTAGTTAAGGTACCGATGCAACCCAATCTTGAAGCAACATTTTGCAATTCGACGGGGAAAACCGCATCTCGAATATGCTTGCATTGTTGCTTAGAGTAGTCAGAAGACTCTGCATTTTGTCAGCGTCTTCACCAAGTAGGACTATGTCATCGACATATTCTAGGTCAATAAGCGAGCCACCTGGTAGAACGTCTCTTTATGAAAATTCAGACGAGGATGAGGTTATATCTAGGAGCATTTCTATAATAAAAGTAAACAAGAATGGAGAGAGTGGACATCCCTGACGAACACTAATCGAAGTAAAGAATTCCGATGACATTTCGCCATAGGCTCTCATTCGACCAGTAGTTTTAGAGTAGGGAGCTTGTATAAGATTAATGTACTTCTTTGGTACACCTTTCAATGACAGACACTGCCACAGAACCTCATGATCAACATCGTTGAATGCCGCAATTGTCCACTCAAATCCCATATCGGTAGAGATAGTAGGAGAATTAGCAGTTATGGGGAAGATTAGGATTTGAAGATAATATTCAAGAAGTAAAATTCAGTGAGATAAGTTTTAATAAATGTTAAGTGTTAACGAATCCAGAAGATGATGAATTGAGAGAACACAAAGAGTGGATGCACCTGTGCCATTGCAAGCTTTTAGTCGTACCGTTCTCCAATCGACCAGCCTGGCACGGTAGTACATACAAAAACATATGTTCCAGACAGTATAGATCGGTTGGGTCATGATGATAGGTGAACACGACCTCAAGTCAAGGTAGCGAATACAGTTGTGTAAAATAAAGCAGCAGTATGACGAGCAGAAATGCAATCTGATTGTGTTTCGCAACTTTCATTGTCACCCTTTATTATCGGATCATACTATCTCGACTAAAGATTTTGAATAGAAATGACACCTTTAGTTGTTTGAAGTCTATATGTATATGTAATGTATATCTTGACAAGTCCGCCAGTAGAACCTTAGGGGCTACTGCCGGTCCCAAGCCCAGATAAAGGAGGAGGGTTGGACATGGGGTTGGCGACCCCATTCCGTCGAAATCTAACTTGCCAAAAAAACGCTAACCAGAAAAAATAATTCAAACCATTTTAACTCTGCCCTGGGAGTTGGAAGAAGAATCATGACGTCGCGTGATGAAAGCCGAGTTCCCTCGGAAGTCACGGGGCTGATGCCTCTTCTGACAACCAGAGCAACCATTCTTTTAGATACATGGAACGTTCGGATATTGAGGGAGACTGGAAGACCATTTCAAGTTGCGGCAGAAATGAAAAGATACAACCTCGAGGTGCTCGACATCAGTGAAACACATTGGGCACAGGTAGGACAACTGAGACTAGCTTCAGAAGAACTGCTGTTATATTCTGGTCATGAAGAGGAAAACGCTTCACATACACAAGGAGTTGTACTGATGCTGTACAAACATGCACAAAAGGCACTGATAGGATGGGAATCTCATGGACCCAGGATCATCAAAACATCCTTCAAAACAAAGATAGCAGACATTACAATGAACGTCATCCAATGTTATGCACCTACCAATGACTACAATGACGACGTTAAAGATCAATTCTACGAAAGGCTGCAGTCAATCGTCGAGAAATGTTCACTAAAGAATTTGACGATTCTTATGGGAGACCTGAATGCCAAAGTTGGAATGGACAACACTGGATATGAAGACATCATCGGACGATATGGACTGGGAGAAAGGAACGAAAACGGTGAGAGATTTGCAAACCTATGTGCCTTCAACAAACTGGTCATCGGTGGCACAATATTCCCGCACAAACGCATTCAAAAAGCCACATGGATTTCACCGGACCACACTACTCAGAACCAAATCGACCATATCTTGTTAGGACGTTCAGCAAATATACTGAGAGTATTATTTTTGGAAGTATAATCCTATTAGTCAAAATTGTGGTCGTTTTGACTGTCAAAGTCAAATACTTCAATGTTGTCTCTTATTGGTCATTCGGACTATCAAATGTCATTTCAAATGTTCTTTCCTATTGGTCGTCCTAAACTGTCAATGTCACAGACTTTGATGCACTTTCGTATTCGACCTAAATGTATAAATACGCACCATCTGTAAAACTTCATGATTCAAATTCCGTTCCTTCCTGCCTACCTCTCTTCTGTACTCGACCCGATAACAACTCTGATATATAGGAGATTTGGGGAATAGTATTTGGGTCGTATTGGAATATTTGAATTCGGACGTCGGTAAGATTTAAATAGCTACGTAGCAGCATTATAACATATCTCTATCAATAAAAAATTCAGAAGATCCAGGGAGGGTGTGACAACCAAGAGAGGAGCTGATATAGCATCAGATCAACACCTGCTGGTCGCCAAAATGAAACTGAAACTAAAGAAGCACTGGACAACGAGGCAGACAACATCACACAAGTTTGATACGGCCTTTCTTCGGGATACCGTAAAACTCAACGAATTTAAGATAGCCTTCAGTAATAAGTTCATGGCCTTGCACGATATACTCAATGGAGAGGAAGCAACATTGAACAATTGGAAAGGGATCAAAGAGGCAATCACTTCAACATGTCAGGAGGTTCTGGGTCACACGAAACACCATCAAAAGGATTGAATCTCTGTTGGTACTCTTGAAATGAGTGAAGGAGGAACAAGAAGGCAGCAATCAGTGTCAGCCGAACAAGAGCAGAGAATGTTAAGGCACAAGCTGAATACACAGAAGCAAACAGGCAAGTGAAGAAGAACATCAGAGCCGACAAACGGAAATATGTGGATGATCTAGCAATGACGGCGGAAAAGGCTGCAAGAGAAGGAAACATGAGACAATTGTACGATACAACAAAGAAGCTCGCTGGGATCCATAGTAAAGATCAGTGAAGAGCAAGGAAGGCAAAGTAATCAGCAACACTGAAGAACAGCGAAACAGGTGGACAGAGCACTTTAGGGACTCTTGAATCGACCAGCTCCACTGAACACACCCAACATCGAAGCAGCATCTACGGACCTCCCATTTGATGTTGGGGCACCTACAATTGAAGAGATCAGCATGGCCATCAGACAAATCCAGAGCGGCAAAGCAGCAGGACCAGAGAACATTCCAGCAGAGGCAATGAAAGCAGACGTGGAAGCAACTGCAAAAATATTTCACAACCTCTTCAAGAAGATTTGTGATGAGGAACAAGTACCGTCAGATTGGAAAGAGGGATACCTGATCAAAATACCAAAGAAAGGCGATCTCAGCAAGTGTGAGAACTACAGAGGCATTACTCTTCTTTCAATACCAGGCAAAGTCTTCAACAGGGTATTGTTAAATAGAATGAGGGACTTCGTAGACTTCTAACTTCGAGATCAACAGGCCGGATTTCGTAAGGATAGATCGTGTACTGACCAAATTGCTACATTACGGATCATTGTGGAACAATCAATTGAATGGAACTCACCACTGTACATCAACTTCATCGACTGCGAGAAAGCATTCGATAGCGTGGACAGGAAAACACTGCAGAGGCTTCTTCGACACTATGGTGTGCCTGAGAAAAAATACGGAATTCTTATGATGGATTCAAGTGCAAAATCGTACATGAAGGACAGCTAACAGACTCTTTCGAAGTGAAGACCGGTGTCAGGCAAGGTTGCTTACTCTCACCCTTTCTCGTTCTCCTGGTGATCGACTGGATTATGAAGACGTTGACGTCTGGAGGGAAGCATGGTATCAACTGGACAGCTAGGACGCAGCTGGACGATATGGAATTCGCAGATGACCTGGCTCTTCTATCTCACACGCAACAACAAATGCAAGAGAAGACGACCAGTGTAGCAGCAGCCTCTGCAGCAGTAGGTCTCAACATACATAAAGGAAAAAGCGAAATTCTCCGATGCAACGCAACATGCACCAACCAAGTCACACTTGATGGAGATGCCTTGGTGGACGTTAACACTTTTACGTATCTGGGCAGCATCATTGACAATCAAGGTGTGGATCCGATGTAGATGTAAGGGCACGGATCAGCAAAGCAAGGGCTGCATTTATATAGTTGAAAAATATCTGGAACTCCAAACAACTTTCAACCAAAACCAAAATCAGGATTTTCAATCCAAATGTCAAGACAGTTCTACTGTATGGAGCGGAAACCTGGAGAAATACCAAAGCCATCATCCAGATGATACAAGTGTTTATTAACAGTTGTCTACGGAAAATCCTTCGGATTCTGTGGCCAGACACGATCAGCAACAACGTACTGTGGGAGAAAACAAACCAGATTCCAGTGGAGGAGGAAATCAGGAAGAAGCAGTGGAAGTGGATAGGACACATTGCGGAAAGCACCTAACTGGGTCACGAGAGAAGCCCTTGCATGGAACTCTCGAGGAGGGCCAAGGAACACATTACACTGAGAAATAGAGAAAGATATGAGAGGAATGAACAAAAATTGGACAGAACCGGAACGGGAAGCCCATGACAGAGTTTGTTGGAGGAAACTGGTGGGCTGCCTATGCTCCATTTGGGGTAACAGGCGTAAGTAGTAAGTTAGTATCTAATGTTCACCTTTGAGAGGAGATTCCGGAGTATCTAGTAAGAAGCCGTGACCAGTAGAGTGCATTCATGTAGTGTATTGAAACGACATCGTCACACAACACTGGATAATGGTCTGCTTATATTGCTAATTGATCAAACTGGTAGATCTGAACCATTGGTTGTCTGAAGATCAAGCATTAGTCATGAAACCTGAAAGTTTTAAGTTTATTATTGATGGGTTCATAGAAATCCATCATTGAGGAATCCCAAACTATGTTTAAACAAATATGCGTTTCTTCCCGGTTTTCATTATTTATCTATAGCCGAAACCAATCAGCTGAGCGTCACATACCTTATAAACAAGTACAATGATTTTCCAGTTGTTTCGCTCGTTATTTTACTGGGGCTCATTTACCATATCAACTTGTTATTTTTATTTCGTTGAACCTTGAACTAGATTTTGTTGACCGTGAATAAATGAGTAGCTTTCTCAAAAATTTTACTGCAAAGCCAATAAATGGACTTATATTTGAACTAAATTATTCTATTTAAATTTACAATAGTTTTATTTCACAATTTGGTAATTTGTTCATTGCTTCGCATTGCATTCTCAGAATGGTTTCACTCCACTGTATATGGCTGCCCAAGAGAATCATTTGGAAGTTGTACGTCTACTACTAACTAATGGTGCAAATCCTGGTCTAACTACAGATGATGGTTTTACACCACTTGCTGTAGCTCTACAACAAGGCCATGATCGTGTTGTTACTCTATTACTAGAAAGTGATTGTCGTGGGGCGGTTGTCACTTTGCTGCTGCCCACACCCTGTAAGGGTGTTTCTTGAGGAACCTGAAAAGGAAGGTGGATTAGAGTTGTCCTTAGAGACCTGGTTGCGTGACCGCATAGCCCAAAGGGCAACTGCTTGAGGCCGGTCACGCATGGCCTTTTTATGAAAGGTTTTTAGAGTATTATCTCCGCTCTTGTAAGCCCTTAGTGGGCACCCTTACCACCGGAGATGGAAATCCGTGAGGTAGGGTGAGGTGTGACATTTTTAGGGTCGACCTTTTCTAACCCTTCCTTCCTTGTTAGAAGGCAGCATCACTGCAGATGCTGGTTATCCGAGGGAAACACCTTACTGCTGTCACACCGCTCTGCAGTAAGCAGTACGACTTCGCCCACAGACCTTGTGTAGCTGGTTTTAGTCTCATCGTTCTCCAATCGACCTGCTTGGTATGTGTGTCATTGTCTTTGGACTTGTTGTAGTGAGAAAATGCGGCCTGTACATCCACATCCAGGTGTGAAACCAGATGGTTTTTTCAAGTCTGCTCTTCACGAACTCTAGTTTCGCGTCGGCAGTAGCTTAGCAGGTCCACTGTCGTAGTTCTGTAGTTTATAGAAGTAGAACGACAACCAATAAGATTCAACTACTGCCTTCACTCGTGAATAATGATTAGTTCATAGTAATTAAAACTTATTTTTTTGTTATTTCCCTTTTGTGTTATGTTAGAATGGATTTACGCCGTTACACATTGCATGTCAAAAGAATCGAATTAAAATCATCGAACTTTTATTGAAGTATAATTGTTCACTTCAAGCTACAACAGAGGTGAGTTATGGAACATAATTATTTTTCCTATTACATTATTCAATGATGTGAATTTTCTGGTGGTAATTTTTGTCAATAACTAACATCATAGATATGATTTGTAACTGAGGCAGATTCCTATGGTGATGTTGTGTTCTATGAGCTAGATGGTTTTATTGCAGAGGTTACATTTTGACAACAGCAACAGAAGTAGGGAGGAGGTTGTAGTTGACGCTGTCCAGAATGACAACGAATGTTTCTTTATTAAATCCTCTGACAAAAATAGCACCAACACTTACGAACGACTGACATCATGCTTCCAAGCTTCTCCCTCTCTAGTCTACTATATTTTTAAGGTAATGACTTCGTTGTATCATGCAACTGTCTTATATTTTATTTTTTCACAACCTTTTCTTCTCTGCTTGTTTGGTGTTTCATATATTTTCGCTTATCAACCCTCATTCTCCTCTTCACTCACTTGTTTAATTCTGTTTATTCGGTCTATGACTTCGTTATTTCTGATGTTTTTCGACTATCATTGACCTAGTTCTTCTTTTCTTGAATCTTCCCTACGTATTAGTTCTTCTCTTTGTTCTAACATCTTCCATGGACTTTTTGAATTTTTTTCGAAACAGATGTGATTGATCTAATCTTTTGTAGTGGGGCTCAGTGAAATCCACGTAGCTTTCTGTATACGTTTGTGGCGGAACATAATTATGTTTCTCTACATTTGCATTAAAAAGAAATTTTCATCGAAAATTTCTGTTCAGGAGTACCCATGAAAATTGAAATGAATGTAGAGAAAAGTTTGAAATCGTTTATTAATAATAATAATAATCATAATTATAGTTATAGTAATTAACAATAATATGTAATATTGACATTGAAATTTTGAAACATGTTTGAATGGATTAACTATGGTAGTAAGAGTGTGAACGCACTAAATATATATATATATATATATATATATATATATATATATAGTTACCTGTGCAAAATACACACCAACAATTCTTGATTGATGTACATGTATACAAATGAAAATACCTATCCTTTAAGACAAAAAATATGCTAAATAATTAGATTAGTTTATAATAATTTGGTATACAATTAAGAATTCAGAAGCGTGCTTGTATTTTTCAAGAAAAAGTTTTCATAAACTTCATGTACTTCAACTAATAATATCATGTACAAAGCATAGTAGAAATCAGTTTACACTGAGAATAAATTATTGGTCTTCAAAAATTTGAATCAAAAAATGAGTTGAAGTTAATTATAATTATAATTATTGTTCTATAGATGCTAAAATTCATGCAAAACTAACTATTATTTAGAATAGGTTGTGGCTATCGGTGGAATCTAGGAAATGTGATTTATTCCATTTTGAGCCTCATCCGATGGATGTATTTGTATTCCAGTGTGGATGTTCACGCTGGAATTCAAAGCCTTACTGCAGTATAGTCGTCGAATAAGTGTTTTGTCTTGACTCAGTAGTTCAATGGATGGATGTGCAAGGCCCTTTAAGCTCAAGTTTCTTAGATTAGTGTACATTCAACTGAGTCATAAATAGAATTAAAAGCTCTTTCCGAATGTCGCTGTTAAACACAACTTGTCTATGATAAATAACTTGTGACTTAACCGCACAATCTAGTCAGTTTGTTCAGTATGCACACATGCACTAACAAAAACTGATCGAAACTTGCTTTTTTTCTTACTTACGCCTGTTATCCCCAATGGACCATAGGCTTCCCACAAGTTTTCTCCATACAACTCTCTCCTGGGACTCCCTTTCCAGTTCTGTCCAATGTTTGTTCATTCCTCTCATATCTTTCTCTATTTCTCGGCGTAATGTGTTCCTAGGCCTTCCTCTTTTCGTTCGAACTTCAGGGTTCCATGTGAGAGCTTGTCTTGTGACGCAGTTTGGTGCTTTTCGTAGTGTGTCTCCTTTCCACTCCCACCACTTCTTCTTGATTTCCTCCTCTACTAGAATCTGGTTTGTTCTCTCCCACAGTACGTCGTTGCTGATAGTGTCTGGAGTTCCAGATATTTTTCAACTATATAAATGCAGCCCTTGCTTTGCTGATCCGTGCCCTTACATCTACATCGGATCCACACCTTGATTGTCAATGATGCTGCCCAGATACGTAAAAGTGTTAACGTCCACCAAGGCATCTCCATCAAGTGTGACTTGGTTGGTGCATGTTGCGTTGCATCGGAGAATTTCGCTTTTTCCTTTATGTATGTTGAGACCTACTGCTGCAGAGGCTGCTGCTACACTGGTCGTCTTCTCTTGCATTTGTTGTTGCGTGTGAGATAGAAGAGCCAGGTCATCTGCGAATTCCATATCGTCCAGCTGCGTCCTAGCTGTCCAGTTGATACCATGCTTCCCTCCAGACGTCAACGTCTTCATAATCCAGTCGATCACCAGGAGAACGAGAAAGGGTGAGAGTAAGCAACCTTGCCTGACACCGGTCTTCACTTCGAAAGAGTCTGTTAGCTGTCCTTCATGTACGATTTTGCACTTGAATCCATCATAAGAATTCCGTATTTTTTCTCAGGCACACCATAGTGTCGAAGAAGCCTCTGCAGTGTTTTCCTGTCCACGCTATCGAATGCTTTCTCGCAGTCGATGAAGTTGATGTACAGTGGTGAGTTCCATTCAATTGATTGTTCCACAATGATCCGTAATGTAGCAATTTGGTCAGTACACGATCTATCCTTACGAAATCCGGCCTGTTGATCTCGAAGTTAGAAGTCTACGAAGTCCCTCATTCTATTTAACAATACCCTGTTGAAGACTTTGCCTGGTATTGAAAGAAGAGTAATGCCTCTGTAGTTCTCACACTTGCTGAGATCGCCTTTCTTTGGTATTTTGATCAGGTATCCCTCTTTCCAATCTGACGGTACTTGTTCCTCATCACAAATCTTCTTGAAGAGGTTGTGAAATATTTTTGCAGTTGCTTCCACGTCTGCTTTCATTGCCTCTGCTGGAATGTTCTCTGGTCCTGCTGCTTTGCCGCTCTGGATTTGTCTGATGGCCATGCTGATCTCTTCAATTGTAGGTGCCCCAACATCAAATGGGAGGTCCGTAGATGCTGCTTCGATGTTGGGTGTGTTCAGTGGAGCTGGTCGATTCAAGAGTCCCTAAAGTGCTCTGTCCACCTGTTTCGCTGTTCTTCAGTGTTGCTGATTACTTTGCCTTCCTTGCTCTTCACTGATCTTTACTATGGATCCCAGCGAGCTTCTTTGTTGTATCGTACAATTGTCTCATGTTTCCTTCTCTTGCAGCCTTTTCCGCCGTCATTGCTAGATCATCCACATATTTCCGTTTGTCGGCTCTGATGTTCTTCTTCACTTGCCTGTTTGCTTCTGTGTATTCAGCTTGTGCCTTAACATTCTCTGCTCTTGTTCGGCTGACACTGATTGCTGCCTTCTTGTTCCTCCTTCACTCATTTCAAGAGTACCAACAGAGATTCAATCCTTTTGATGGTGTTTCGTGTGACCCAGAACCTCCTGACATGTTGAAGTGATTGCCTCTTTGATCCCTTTCCAATTGTTCAATGTTGCTTCCTCTCCATTGAGTATATCGTGCAAGGCCATGAACTTATTACTGAAGGCTATCTTAAATTCGTTGAGTTTTACGGTATCCCGAAGAAAGGCCGTATCAAACTTGTGTGATGTTGTCTGCCTCGTTGTCCAGTGCTTCTTTAGTTTCAGTTTCATTTTGGCGACCAGCAGGTGTTGATCTGATGCTATATCAGCTCCTCTCTTGGTTGTCACACCCTCCCTGGATCTTCTGAATTTTTTATTGATAGAGATATGTTATAATGCTGCTACGTAGCTATTTAAATCTTACCGACGTCCGAATTCAAATATTCCAATACGACCCAAATACTATTCCCCAAATCTCCTATATATCAGAGTTGTTATCGGGTCGAGTACAGAAGAGAGGTAGGCAGGAAGGAACGGAATTTGAATCATGAAGTTTTACAGATGGTGCGTATTTATACATTTAGGTCGAATACGAAAGTGCATCAAAGTCTGTGACATTGACAGTTTAGGACGACCAATAGGAAAGAACATTTGAAATGACATTTGATAGTCCGAATGACCAATAAGAGACAACATTGAAGTATTTGACTTTGACAGTCAAAACGACCACAATTTTGACTAATAGGATTATACTTCCAAAAATAATACTCTCAGTATATTTGCTGAACGTCCTAACAAGATATGGTCGATTTGGTTCTGAGTAGTGTGGTCCGGTGAAATCCATGTGGCTTTTTGAATGCGTTTGTGCGGGAATATTGTGCCACCGATGACCAGTTTGTTGAAGGCACATGGGTTTGCAAATCTCTCACCGTTTTCGTTCCTTTCTCCCAGTCCATATCGTCCGATGATGTCTTCATATCCAGTGTTGTCCATTCCAACTTTGGCATTCAGGTCTCCCATAAGAATCGTCAAATCCTTTAGTGAACATTTCTCGACGATTGACTGCAGCCTTTCGTAGAATTGATCTTTAACGTCGTCATTGTAGTCATTGGTAGGTGCATAACATTGGATGACGTTCATTGTAATGTCTGCTATCTTTGTTTTGAAGGATGTTTTGATGATCCTGGGTCCATGAGATTCCCATCCTATCAGTGCCTTTTGTGCATGTTTGGACAGCATCAGTGCAACTCCTTGTGTATGTGAAGCGTTTTCCTCTTCATGACCAGAGTATAACAGCAGTTCTTCTGAAGCTAGTCTCAGTTGTCCTACCTGTGCCCAATGTGTTTCACTGATGTCGAGCACCTCGAGGTTGTATCTTTTCATTTCTGCCGCAACTTGAAATGGTCTTCCAGTCTCCCTCAATATCCGAACGTTCCATGTATCTAAAAGAATGGTTGCTCTGGTTGTCAGAAGAGGCATCAGCCCCGTGACTTCCGAGGGAACTCGGCTTTCATCACGCGACGTCATGATTCTTCTTCCAACTCCCAGGGCAGAGTTAAAATGGTTTGAATTATTTTTTCTGGTTAGCGTTTTTTTGGCAAGTTAGATTTCGACGGAATGGGGTCGCCAACCCCATGTCCAACCCTCCTCCTTTATCCGGGCTTGGGACCGGCAGTAGCCCCTAAGGTTCTACTGGCGGACTTGTCAAGATATACATTACATATACATATAGACTTCAAACAACCAAAGGTGTCATTTCTATTCAAAATCTTTAGTCGAGATAGTATGATCCGATAATAAAGGGTGACAATGAAAGTTGCGAAACACAATCAGATTGCATTTCTGCTCGTCATACTGCTGCTTTATTTTACACAACTGTATTCGCTACCTTGACTTGAGGTCGTATTCACCTATCATCATGACCCAACCGATCTATACTGTCTGGAACATATGTTTTTGTATGTACTACCGTGCCAGGCTGGTCGATTGGAGAACGGTACGACTAAAAGCTTGCAATGGCACAGGTGCATCCACTCTTTGTGTTCTCTCAATTCATCATCTTCTGGATTCGTTAACACTTAACATTTATTAAAACTTATCTCACTGAATTTTACTTCTTGAATATTATCTTCAAATCCTAATCTTCCCCATAACTGCTAATTCTCCTACTATCTCTACCGATATGGGATTTGAGTGGACAATTGCGGCATTCAACGATGTTGATCATGAGGTTCTGTGGCAGTGTCTGTCATTGAAAGGTGTACCAAAGAAGTACATTAATCTTATACAAGCTCCCTACTCTAAAACTACTGGTCGAATGAGAGCCTATGGCGAAATGTCATCGGAATTCTTTACTTCGATTAGTGTTCGTCAGGGATGTCCACTCTCTCCATTCTTGTTTACTTTTATTATAGAAATGCTCCTAGATATAACCTCATCCTCGTCTGAATTTTCATAAAGAGACGTTCTACCAGGTGGCTCGCTTATTGACCTAGAATATGTCGATGACATAGTCCTACTTGGTGAAGACGCTGACAAAATGCAGAGTCTTCTGACTACCCTAAGCAACAATGCAAGCATATTCGAGATGCGGTTTTCCCCGTCGAATTGCAAAATGTTGCTTCAAGAATGGGTTGCATCGGCACCTGAACTAGTGATAGGCAATGAAGTAGTCGAGCGTGTTGATCGCTTCACTTATCTCGGTAGTCTCATCAGCGCTGATAGCCTGGTGACTGACGAAATCTCAGCGCGGATACAGAAGGCTCGATTGGCTTTTGCCAACCTGCGTCACTTATGGCACAGGCGAGATATCCGCTTGTTAACCAAAGGACGAGTGTACTGCGCAGCAGTTCGCTCCGTTCTCCTATATGGATGCGAAACATGGCTGTTAAGAGTAGAGGACTTCCGTAGCTTACTAGTCTTCGATCATTGATGTCTCCGGAGCATTGCTCGTGTATCATGGGACAACCGTATAAGCAATGCTGTCGTTAGGAAACGAGTACTAGGTACGGATGGCAAATCAATAGATGAAGCATTGAAACTTCATCAGTTGAGGTGGTTGGGACATTTGTTGCGTATGGCTGACTACCGACTACCGCGACGAGAGATGTTTTGTAATGTAGGAGTAACCTGGAAGAGAGTTAGGGGCGGCCAGACCAAAACATGGCAGAAATCCATGAAGTCACTGACAAGTGGACTGAGTCATGTTGGTAGATGTAGGCTACGTGGTTATGGTCCGCGAGACGAAAGTCACCAATGGTTAGGGACCTTGAATAACATGTTTGCAATGGCTCAGGTGCATCCGCTCTTTGTGTTCAATGAAATTCTAATCTTCTGCAAGCTTCATAATCGGTACCTTTCTCCTTCTAAATTAATCCTAATGAACTATACTTTTCGAATCATATCTTTGATCCCTAATGTTTTCCATCGCTGCTAATCATTCTACGATCACTATCATTTTTGGATTTGGAGTGACGTTTGCGTCTCTGTGCTGATGTGGTACGGCAACCTGAACTGATGTACTTACGTACGAAGTTCTGCGTTGTATCTGTGTGTCTGTCTGCTTTGGGTAGCCAGAAGCCTGCTTTTTGTCAACGTTTTCTCTATGTCATCAGCCAATCCTACGTCGGCAAGCCTGTCTCCTGGTAAAAGTTCCACTCTTGAAGAGTGTTAATTTTAAAAGCTTGTGTACGACAAAGTTAAATGAGAATCGGGACATTGGGTAGCCCTGATGGACACCACCTGAAGTAAAGAATGGCGATCACAGTTCGCCATAAGCTCTCATCCGACCATTGGTGTTCGAGTAGAGAGCTTGTATGAGGTTAATGTACTTCTCTAGTACATCTTTCAATGACATACACTGTCACAGAACCTCACGATACTCAGATTCCAATGTCGGACGCCTAAATGTGTGTCTGTGTCCCATGACCTGTTGTAGTGAGAAAATGTGGTCTATAAATCCACGTCCAGGTCTGAAACCATCCTGGTTTTTTCTAGTCTGCTCTTCACGAGCTGTATTTAGGCGTTAGATTTTTTGGTTTGTGATCGTCAACCATACTGCATTATCGGTGTTTGAGATTGGCAGTGGCCTTGAACGATACAGACAGAGTTTATAAATCGATAGGCTGGAAGAAAGTTCTTGGCGGCCAAACCAAAACGTGGCTTGATTCCACGAATTCACTGACAAGTGTATTGAGCCATGTTCGTAGGTGTGGAATACTAGGTTGGTTTCCGTGAGACAATCGTTTCTGGTTGTTGAAGACTTTAAACGGCATTACTTTAGAATCGTTTGCAATGGGGTAGATATATCTATCTTTTGTCTTCGCTCAAATTCTTAGCTTCTGAATTACTTATGACCTGTTTAATCTTAGATTTATTTCACTGGATTATATGGAGACTTAATTCTTTTGAACGCTAATCTTTTCGATCACTGCCTGTACCACTACAACCCCCTGATCTATGGAGTTGTATTGATAATTGCATCTGTGTGCTAATGTGATATGAAAACTTGAACTGATGTACTCACTTGCCGAGTTGTAGGTTATAGCTGATAGAATAACTGAATTATTATATTAGTTCATTATTTATTTTCATTTCAGTCTGGTTTAACACCATTACACGTTACTTGTTTCATGGGTCATTTAAATATTGCTGTTTTATTGTTACAACATGGTGCCAATGCAAATGCACAAACTGTACGCTGTGAGACCAGCTTGCACTTGGCAGTACGTGCTGGACAAACTGATGTCGCTCGTCTACTATTACGTAATGGTGCTCAAGTGGATGTGAAAGCTAGGGTAAGCTCTGTTATGACGCTTTGGTTTTTGAGATGGAGTTTTAAGAGCTTAATTATTAGAGCTTATTTAAATTTCTTTTGAATTCAAGCTGTTAACGATTACTGACTTTATGAAGAGAACTATGAAATGAAGCAGACTAATCCATAAGTTTTGACGTAAAGAAAAACTTAGTTTTTGATAAAATTTAATTAGTGCATAAACAAGTGCTACTTATTTATTGATAGATGTAATGCAATATTATTGATTCTCATAGATGGTCGATGAAAAGAACCTAATAATCTTTTATTCTCACTTTATTTCTCTCTGATTATTACTTAATCAGGGCAATCAAACACCGCTTCATTTAGCTTCACGTATTGGTAATTTAGAATTAGTTACTTTATTATTGGAATATGCTGCTAATGTACAATCCTTAACGAAAGATACTTATACACCATTACATTTAGCTGCGAAAGCTAATCATAAGGAGATATGTGAATTACTGTTAAAAAATGGAGCAGAGTTAGAAATAACAACAAAGGTAAATTGAATATTTTGTTTAGGATGAAATGTTTTAATTTTTCTCATATTTAAATAATATCATGATTACGTTTTTACATGACAATATACTGGATCCTATTGATCTGAATGGTTTACACGATGAACTCTGAACCATAACTGACATGAAAACATTCTAGATAACCACATGAAAGCGGTTGTTTATATCGTCAATAACGAGAAAAGCCTGTATACTCTTTTTACTTGTACGTGGTTAATAGTCTGTCTAAGACAAATCCTTCATTTAGATTGTGAATGTTCTACAATCTCCACAAATCCCACAAATGCCAACTTGCGTAACCTATGGCGCAGGCGAGACATCCATTTGCTAACCTAAGGATGAGTGTACTGTGCAGTGGTTCTCTCTGTCCTACCGTGAAACATGGCCGGTCAGAGTAGAAGATATTCGTAGGTTGCTTGTTTCCGATCATACATGTCTACGAAGCTCATATGTCATGGGACAATCGACTAAGCAATGCTGTCGTTAGGAAACGAGTACTAGGTACGGATGGCAAATCAATAGATGAAGTATTAAAACTTCAACAGTTGAGGTGGTTGGGACATGTGTTGCGTATGGCTGACTACCGACTGCCTGGACGAGCTTTGTATTGTTTTGTCGGAGTAGGTTCGAAGAAAGCTAGAGACGGTCAAACCAGATTCTGGTAGAAATCAATGAGGTCTCTGAAAAGTTGACTGAGTCATGTTGTTAGGTATCGACTATCTGGTTGGGGTCCGCGAGATGATAGTAATCTGATGATTAGAGACGCTGAATGACATCATTGAAAACCATGTACAATGGTGCAGGTGCCTTCATTCTCTGTGTTGTCTCAAATTCTAATCTGCAGAGTTCCTCATCACTTGTGTATTTCTGTTTTTAAGTTTATTTCATTGGATTCTACTTCTTGAATACTTTTGTTGAACCCTAAGCCCTCTGATTACTGCTAATAAATTTACTATTTCTTTTACAATGGGATTAGAAGTGACAATCGAATGTCTGTGCTAATGTGGTGTGGTAACCTGATTTTTTGTACGTACGTACGAAGTTCTACGTGGTAATTGACTTACTTGACTGACAAATCCTCCTTTTAATAATCATAAAATGTTTGTTTATATTTCTTCATTCACAATCAAACAGTCTGGTTTCACCCCATTACATTTAGCTGTAAAATATTCACACTTAGAAACAGCTAAATATCTACTTTTATCCGGCGCTGATGTGAATGCAGTTGGACGTAATGGTTTAACACCGTTACATTTAGCTACACATTATGGATGTTTACCCATGGTCGAATTATTACTTGAACACAAAGTGAGTCGTTTTTTTGTATTATAGCTTTCTTTATCTTTCACCTAATAATGAAGGCAATTTGTTTATTTATGTTCACATAGGTTTCCATTTTTCATTATATTTAACAGCATTAACTGGTCTTACCTGAATGACTAATAAAAACCATTCTAGAATGGGACTACTCAACAGTGTTTATCCAAGGCAGTGGAACCTAGAAAATGGGCTTCTAAATAAAAATACTTGCGATTTCCAGCTAGTTCACGTTTACAGAGTTACATTCCCAATCAAGTTAAGCCAGTTTTTGTATATATGGTTGTGAATATAAATCAGTTCACGAGTTTGGAATACTATTTTGTGATAGTGAATGACTGTTAATGTTTAAAAGAGTTACTAAAATTAATAACTATCGTTTTTATTCTTTGATTGAAATATATTGCTGGGTTTGGTATTTTGGGTCTGACTAGGCTTTACTCATTATTCTCCTGCCGATTAACTTTGTGACTGTTATTTTAGGTTATAGCTTGTGATAATTTTGAATCTCAAACAATTAGGAGATTCTTTTGGTACAAACAAGGACCTAAAGATATCTAAGTTAACTAATACGCAATATTTCAACAGTAATTCCTATTCATAATCAGTCAGTCAGTCAGTCAGATGCAACGTAGAACTTCGTACGTAAGTACATCAGTTCATGTTGCCATACCACATCAGCACAGAGATATAATTGTCAATTCAAATCCAATAGTAGTAGAGGTAGTAAGGGAATTAGAAGTAATCGGAGAGGTTAGGGTTAGAAGATACTATTCAAGAAGTATGATTCAGTGAGAAAAGTTTAGAGAGTCGAAACTAGAGGTGTTGAAGAATCCAGAAGATTAGGGTTTGAGAGAACACAAACAATAAATGCACCGGCGCCATTGCGAACGATTTTGAGCCATGTCATTCAAGGTCTCTAACCATCGATTATTATCATCTCGCGGACCCCAACCAGGTAGTCGACAACTACCGACATGGCTCAGTCCACTAGTCAATGACTTCATGGATTTCTGCCATGTTTTGGTCTGGCCGCCCCTAACTCTCTTCCAACCTATTCCTACACTACAAAACAAAGTTCGTCGAGGCTGTCGGTGGTTTGGCATACGCAACAAATGTCCCAACCACCTCAACTGATGAAGTTTCACCATCCGTACCTAGTACTCGTTTCCTAACGACAGCATTGCTTACTCGGTTGTCCCACGGTATACGAGCAATGCTTCGAAGACACCTGTGATCGAAAACCATTAACCTACGTATATCTTCTACTCTCACTGGCCATGTTTCACAGCCATATAGGAGGACGGAGCGAACTGCTGCACAGTACACTCGTCCTTTGATTAGAGAACGGATATCAAGCCTACGCCATAAGTGACGCAGGTTGGCAAAAGTCAATCGAGCCTTCTGTATCCGAAATGCGATTTCGTCAGTCACCAGGCCATCGGCACTGATGAGACTCCCAAGATAAGTGAAGCGGTCTACTCGCTCGACTACTTCATTGCCTATCACTAGTTCAGGTGCTGATGCAATGCAGTCTTGAAGCAACATTTTGCATTTCGAGGGTAAGAACCGCATTCCGAACATGCTTGCATTGTTGCTTAGGGTAGTCAGAAGACTCTGCATTTTGTCAGCATCTTCACCAAGTAAGACAATGTCATCGGCATATTCTAAGTCAATAAGTAAGCCACCTGGTTGAAGGTCTACTCCTGAAAAGTCAGACGAGGATAAGGTTACATCTAGCAGCATGTCTATGATAATATTAAACAAGAATGGAGAGAGTGGACATCCCTGACGGACACCACTTGATATAGAGGATTCCGGTGACAGTTCGCCATAAGCTCTCACCCGACCAGTGGTGTTTGAGTAGAGTGCTTGTATAAGGTTAATGTACTTCTTTGGTACACCTTTCAATGACAGACACTGACACAGAACCTCACGATCCACTGAGTCAAATGCCGCTTTTAGGTCCAGGAACACAACTATTGTCGGACGTCTAAATGTGTGTCTGTGTTCCAGGACCTGTCGTAGTGCGAAGATGTGGTCTATACAGCCACGTCCAGGTCTGAAACCATCCTGGTTTTCTCTAGCCTGCTCTTCACGAGCTCTAGTTAGGCGTCTAAGTATTATTGAGGCCAACATTTTAGATACTATATTAGTTAGACTTATTCCCCTGTGATTGTCACAAGAAGAATTTTGTCCTTTCTTATAGATTGGGACAATCAGTGATTGAGACCAGTCGGATGGGATTACGTCCAGTTCCCAGATTCTACCTAAGATCTCAGTCAACCTAGCAGATAAAACTGGACCACCATCCTTAAAAATCTCAGGGGTCAGTCTATCAGGACCTGCAGCTCGTCCTCGTTTCAGATTTCCTAACGCTTTCTCAACGTCTTCAAGACTACGGGGACTTATATCGATTTGCCATTCAGGATGACTGGAGATCGTGGGTAACCGAAGAGTGGCTCGTGGCCATTTGAACTGATCCCTAAAGTGTTCTGCCCATCGATCCAGTCTCCTGGATTGAGAATGAATAATAAGACCAGTCCTTTTCTGAGATAGTCTCACTTACACTAGGATTCCTAATACCAGTTTCCTTGATAAGTCGGAAAAGTTGTCTACTGTTGCCGATCGCCGCTGCCTTTTCCATTTCTATTTCTTTCGCCACCCACCACTGTTCGCGGTCGTTACGCAGACTTTTTATAAGTCTGCGCCTAAGCTGACTACGCTCTTCATCATGCTCAGAGTCAGGTGGGATGCGTTTTCGAGCATCCATCAGTTCGGTAGATGCGACTGATACCCACGGCTTCATCCTAGCCTCATGGTTTACCTTGCTAGCAGATATCACTGCTGTTTCCACAGCCTTTTTGATATCATACCAACCTGCTTCTGGATGGGAATCGCTTAAATGGTCGCCTAACTGTCTTTCTAGTTGCTCCTGAAATATTTTCTTGGTTTGATTATCATTAAGTAAAACCCTGAGAGGCTTCCTTACGGTGTCTTTCCCACGTCCAGTAAGCCTCCAACAGATACGAGCTCGCACTAGAGCATGATCTGAATCCAAACATGTGCCTCAGAACGAGCGACAGTCCTTTATCGAACCTCTCCATCGGTGGGTGATGGCGATGTGATCTAGTTGGTTCCAACGTTGAGACGACTTCGGGGGTCGTCAGGTCAACAGATGTTTTTCTTCATGCCTAAAGTTGGTGTTCGCTAAGAATAGGCGGTTATCTGAGCATAGTTGCAACAGACAGTCGCCATTGTCTGTTCTCTGAGCCGCGACACCATAACATCCACCTAGGTGTCCTTTTATTTTCACTTAGTCTACCTACTTGAGCATTGAAGTCACCAGCCATTATTACTATATCAGAGCGCCTAGCTTTTTGGAGGAGGTCCGAAAGCTTTCTGTAAAACTCATCTTTCACCTCGTTTGAACTGCAGTCAGTGGGGGCATAGGCAGATATGACGAAGAGGCAACGGCGTGTGTCCCTATCCTTCCGAGTCCTTACTGTCCCGTTTAGTCGGACAGCGCACAAACGACTATCTACTGGGATCCAGGCTAGGAGAGATAATTCTGCCCTAGGACTCAACGCTATGCCTACGCCAGCAAGACCCCTGGAAGCAACATCAGGGCTACCGGATACACGAAGAGTGAATCGGGCTGCTTCTTCGTTTTGACAAGGTGGAGTCAGGTTAATGACTTTACTATGATCCTGTAATCGCGTTTCGGTGGCAGGAGTTTCTAAAGTCCTAGCTAATGATGCCTGTTGCCCTATTTGACACAATGTCCGTACATTAAAAGCTCCAATATGTAGTCTAGAACGGGGTTTCAAGAGACCAGGAACGACGTTTCGTGATCTCGCTTCGTCTGCATTAGCGGTGCAGTGAGAAAAGGGAGTGTGAGTAGAGTTAGTCGTAGAGATAAGAGAGATAATAGGGGGTGTAGGAAGGATTTGATTTTGACCAATTCGGTCTCGTGTGCTGTTACGCGTATGAGGGCGGTTGTCACTTTGCTGCTGCCCACACCCTGGAAGGGTGTTTCTTGAGGGACCTGAAATGGAAGATGGATTAGTGTTGGTGCGTGACGGCAGAGCCCAAGGGACAACTGCTTGAGGCCGGTCACGCACGGCCTTTTTATGAAAGGTATTTAGAGGATTAGCTCCGTTCTTAAATGCCCTTAGTGGGCACCCTTACCACCGGAGATGGAAATCCGTGAGGTAGGGTGAGGTGTGACATTTTTAGGGTCGACCTTTTCTAACCGTTCCTTCCTTGTCAGAAGGCAGCATCACTGCAGATGCTGGTTATCCGAGGGAAACACCTTACTGCTGTCACACCGCTCTGCAGTCAGCAGTACGACTTCGCCCTCAAACCTTGTGTAGCTGGTTTTAGTCTCATCGTTCTCCAATCGACCTGCCTGGCATGGTAGGACCTGCAGGAACATATGTTGCAGCCAATATAGCTCGGTTGGGTCATCACGATAGGCAGGCCCGACCACCACGTCAAGGTAGCACCTACGGTCGGGCCTATTCATAATGGAAGCGGTTGAAGTCAGATTCTCCAAAATCTAGGCTTTTAACAGTTACTTATCCAAATTTGTTTTACTATTTCTTCCCTCCTCTATTTTACCAGGCATCTCCGGTTTCACAAGCTAAAAATGGTTTCATTCCATTGCATATTGCAGCGGAAAAACATTTAGTGGATATCGGTAAATTGTTGATTGAAGCTACTAGCGATAGTAATCATAAGAACAAGAAGAATGTTAACGAGGATGATGGTGGTGGTTGTTGTTGTATACAATCACGTAACGGCTTTACCCCGTTGCATTTAGCTTGTCAAGATGGAAATGAAAAAATGACTAAATTACTAATTGTCTCTGGATCTAAAGTAAATACTTTAGCGAAAGTAAGTCAATGTGTTACCATTAATAAGGGTTTGTAATTTTACATGATTGATATTGATAGTAATTTTTCAGTCACTCTTCTCATACGTACATGTCAAGAGGATCTTTTCGATATTACTTTGTGTAATCAGTTTTAGTACATTTCGTATGCTACTATCTGTGGAATTATGGGCTCACGTTTTGTCCTAACAGGGAATTCTTAGCTGGGGCATACCTATTTCCTAGTACTGAAGACACTCTAAAGCTCGAATCCACTTACTTTCTCTTTTGAGTCTAGATATCAGCTTGCCTTTTTAGTGTGTATGGAGTTAAAATTAGTACGTTGTAATTTACTGTTGTTAATCATGTTACTGTTGTTTTGTTGTCATACATAACTTTTATGAGTGATGAATTTCTCAGTTTCAGCCTTGTTTTCGGTTAATGTATAAGTCTGGTTCGACACTCCAATGCAAATATGTGGTCCAAATGTATTTTAATCAAAGTCTCACTGAATGATTATAGATTACTCTCAAAAATTACTTCACTTGAATATCGATTTGCATGATCTTGTCCCTGAGCTAGCCAGTGACATTCCAACCGGCACCAGTAGCTTGTTAGGTTTTTATTGGTCTTTCTATTCAGTAGCTTCTCTGTTTGTTAGTGGGACGGATGGAATTAAAGCTCGACTACGTTGCTGCGCGCTGATTGGCTAAATTCCTATCCAATCAGCGCCTGATCGAAGCTTGGAGAAGAGGATAGAAAATTCTCGTATTATTAGCTGCATGCTAATTGGTTAAATGTAATCCAGTCGATCACGTGAATTTTCTTCCAGAAGCTTTCTCATGTAAAGGCTATAAATAGACTAGCGTTGTATTTATTCTTTGCCTTCTCGCCTTGGCCTTCGCCATCACCTCCGGCTTCTTATTCCTTGCTATTTTTGAATATAATATTTCTTTTTCAACCGTGTTTTGATTTTGGGGGACTTGTCCAGTGTTTGTGTCAAAGAATACTAAGCAATAAGATGTAGCCGGGAATTATCTAAGCTTACCGTTACAACACTGTTCTTGTTAAGGCACTTTGGAAATTCTGTTATAGTCTCAAAATATTATTTAAGTTCAGTGGTTTAAATAATTGTTCTTTTTAAATACTCAGTACTTTCTCTTTAGACATTGTTCTGTTTTCATGTTATGTTTGGAAAGTGTATGGAAATCCAGTTTTAATTCTGAAATTCTAACAGATCTTAACTCCACATCTACGGTATCATCCAAGCAGACTGTCTAGATTGATGAATAACAAATTTGACTAAATTTCATTGATATTCTAATAAGATATAGCTAAGAAAATGAATACCTCATTTTATGTTATTCCATGATCGATATGACTGGAAATATAGCTTATTTGTCATTGTTGTGACCCGAGTTAAATGCTGGTTGCGACTACTTATGTGGTTGTTCAATCTGACTGTAGAGTGACTGATACCTATTATTGATGTCATTGAGAGAATAATGCTATGTTGACACAAGGAAGAATATAAGACTGTAGGACTAGACTGATTTGTACTCCTGTGGTGGAGAATGTATCGCTAGTTTTGTGACGGTAGATACTCAACGTGTTCTTAGTCTTCTTAATTTGCTCGTCCAGGCAGTCGTCATCAAATAGCACCTGACGGTTGTAAATCAGAAAGTGAACACTAAGTGTTGAATACGTTTATTTTTGACACACCACAAAATGGACCAGCAGACTACAAACACATAGAGCAGGGGAAGCACTCTAGCGAGCGAATGTGCGAATGGGCGAAGGTATTAATAAGATTAAAATGTTCTATATGTACATAGAGAAATGCCGAGTCATCGAGATATTTAGGATATTAACATTAAAGCGAATAGGATGAATATGCGCGTAGTCTTAAGCAATATTCAGTCGTACCAGCTCATACAAACCAGACAATAGTAAAAACCAATGGTACATATAGGTTGTTGCTATAGAAGCGGCTTGGTTAAATAAGTTAATCGAAAGGGTTAACCAAATTAAATATAAGTGAACTCTAATGTATGTGGAGGCAATACACTCCGAACAATAATTAAACGACATCCCCAATTATAGGCGTCATTTTCAATGTACGGTCAATAAGTCTCAATGAATTGGTCTAGCAGTTAATCGGTAATCTAATATGTGTGTAATTTGCAAAATCAATAAACCAATTAGTATGACTGACAAGTATAATTCATCCTTAAATTATATACTAGTTTAACACCTAGTGATCCTACTTTACGAGGAGTTATATTCTGATTTTGTTCTGTTTGCCTTCAATAGAGATAAACTTACTTTCATACCATACAGTCCTACTAAAAGTTTAACTATGCTATTAATGGGATGACTTGTCGATCTAATATAGTATTTCAACTCGTTTTTTAAAATTTTTATCATCCTTAAAATGTCCTTATACATCGATTGATATCAACTCAGAATCAAGTAAAATTAAACGACTGATATATGCACAAGATTTTATGAATATCGAAGACTCCATCATAAAAGTTTTTATTGATGAATCATCCTTTAATTTGTATCTGAGAACTTTGGGAAGATCTACAAGCGGAAAACCAGCAAGTGCCATGGTTCCGTCAACACGTGGAACTAATGTAAGTTTGATATCCGCGATATCAGAAAATGAAGTTCTCTTTGCTCAAACATTTTTTGGTTCAGTGAACTCCGATAAGTTCATTCATTTTTTTAATCAGTTGATTGGAAAATGCAATCAAAAATCAATTTTTCAGAATTGCTTTTTTATCCTTGATAATGTAAGGATCCATCACTCCAATATTACCAAAAATTTTTTTGATGTAAAGGGAGTAAAGGTTATGTTTTTATCCCCTTATAGTTATATGCTTAATCCTATTTGCATTTTCAAAAATTAAATCCATTGTAAGATCACTGGCGAGCGGATTTAATGAATCATTTACAAATCTTATATATTAAATTCTGTAAATCAATCAACCACAAATGATTTACAAGGTTATTTCGAGGCATTATACATCGCAATTTTTTAAAAGCGATTGCTAAAGAAGATTTTAATTAAAAAATAGTATTCTTTTTATTTTTTAAAAACGTTTTGAAAATCTCTGAAAATTGAAAAAAAAGAGTTGAAATACTATATATTGTCTATAAAAAATGATTTTTTTCCTTATACGACTGTTCTACTTCTCTTTTAATCGCATGATTAAAGTAAACAGTTCTCCATCATACTATACGTGTTGGTATTTGGTAGACTGAATTATTGAACTATTAAACTAATATCTTGTCGATAGCCTGTTGTATATTAGGCTAAAATGTATGATAACGATTTACTGGCGCTATGTCTGTAGAGGAAATATCTAGTTTCAGTATTATATCATTTTTAAAATTCGACCTATAATTATTTGTTTTTCAGAATGGCCTGACAGCAATGCATTTAGCAGCACAAGAGGATAGTGTTAAAGCTGCAGAATTATTATATGCCGCTGGTTCTGAGCTCGATTTGAAAACAAAGGCAGGATATACTCCTTTGCATACAGCTTGTCATTTTGGTCAAGTGAGTTGATCTATATATCGTATCGAAGCAGTTTCACACCACAAATATGTTACATTACTGCACATTCCACTATGTACATGTGTATTACGACATGTCTTTTTATTTATCCCGACCGAAGCTGCTTACCTTGACGTGGTTTTCGGGCTTGCCTATCATGATGACCCAACCGAGCCATATTGGCCTGAACATATGTTAGTGAAGGTTCTACCGTGCGTGACCGGCCTCAAGCAGTTGCCCTTTGGGCTCTGCGGTCACGCAACCAGGTCTCTAAGGACAACTCTAATCCACCTTCCTTTTCAGGTTCCTCAAGAAACACCCTTCCAGGGTGTGGGCAGCAGCAAAGTGACAACCGCCCTCATACCAATAACAGCACACGAGACCAAATTGGTCAAAATCAAATCCTTCTTACACCCCCTATTATCTCTCTTATCTCTACGACTAACTCTACTCACATTCATTTATCACACTGTACAGCTAATGCAAACAATGCGAGTTCACAAAACGTCGTTCCTGGTTTCCTTAAACACCGTTCTAGACTACATGTTGGAGCATTTAATGTACGGACATTGTGTCAAATAAGGCAACAGGCATCATCAGCCAGGACTTTAGAACCTCGTGCCATCGATGTGTGCTGCGTCTCGAAAACGCGCATACAGGATCCGAGTAGCATCATTCACTTGCCCTCACCATGTCAAGATAAAGAAGCAGCTCGATTTACCCTTCGTGTATCCGGTAGCCCTGATGCTGCTTCCCGGAGTCTCGTTGGTGTAGGTATAGCATTGAGTCGTATGGCAGAACTATCTCTCCTAGACTAGACCCCTGTAGAAAGTCGCTAGGGCGCTGTCCGACTAAACCGTACAGTAAGGATTCGGAAAGATAAGGACACTTGTCGTTACCTCTCATATAGTCATAATAGCTGGTGACTTCAATGCTCAAGTAAGTTGACAAGGTGAAAGACACTTTGGTGGAAATTTTGGGGCTGCTCTCTCTTGCTTCTGATTTACTATAACTTTTTCAACTTCTTAACGGTTCGTAGGGCTTACGTCGACTTGCCATTCAGGATGATTGGAGATTTTGGGTAAGAGAAGTATGGCTGAAGACCAGTTGAACTGATCCCGAAAGTGTACTGACCATCGGTCCAATCTCCTGGATTGAGAATAAATGTTACATCCATCCTTTTCTGAGATAGTCTCACTCACATTCGGGTTCCTAAAACAGTCTCGCTAACAGATGGATTTCTTATACCGGTTTCCTTGATAAGGCGGGAAAGTTGTCTAGTGTTGCCTTTCGCCGCTGCCTTTTCCATCTCTCTCGATTTCTCCACCCACAACTGTTCGCGGTCGTTTCGTAGTCTTTATATCAGTCTGCGCCTAATCTGACTTCGCTCTTCGTCATGTTCAGAGTCAGGTGGGATGCGTTTTTGAGCATCTATCAGTTCGGTGAATGCGACTGAAATCCACGGCTTCAACCCAGCTTTACGGTTCACGTTGCTATCAGATATCACTGCTGTTTCCACAGCTTTTTTGATACCATTCAAACCTGCCTCTGAATGTGAATCACTTGCATGGTCGCCCAACTGTTTTTCTAGTTCCTCCTGAAATATTTTCTTAGTTTGATTATCATTAAGTAAAGGCCTAAGAGGTTTTCTTGCGATATTTTTCTGGCGTCCAGTAAGGCGCAAACGAATACGCGCTCGCACAAGAGCATGGTCTGAATCTAAACATGTGCCCCAGAATGAGCGACAGTCCTTTATCGAACCTCTCCATCGGTGGGTGATGGCGATGTGATCTAGTTGGTTCCAACGTTGAGACGACTTCGGGGGTCGTCAGGTCAACAGATGTTTTTCCTTATGCTTAAAGTTTGTTTTTGCTAGAAATAGACGGTTATCTGAGCATAGTTGCAACAGACAGTCGCCATTGTCTGTTCTCTGAGCCGCGACACCATAACATCCACCTAGGTGTCCTTTTATTTTCACTTAGTCTACCTACTTGAGCATTGAAGTCACCAGCCATTATTACTATATCAGAGCGCCTAGCTTTTTGGAGGAGGTCCGAAAGCTTTCTGTAAAACTCATCTTTCACCTCGTTTGAACTGCAGTCAGTGGGGGCATAGGCAGATATGACGAAGAGGCAACGGCGTGTGTCCCTATCCTTCCGAGTCCTTACTGTCCCGTTTAGTCGGACAGCGCACAAACGACTATCTACTGGGATCCAGTCTAGGAGCGCTAGTTCTGCCATACGACTGAATGCTATACCTACAACAACGAGACTCCGGGAAGCAGCATCAGGGCTATGGATACACGATGGGTAGATCGAGCTGCTTCTTTATTTTGATAAGGTGAAATCAGATTAATAATTTTACTATGATCCTGTAATCGCGTTTCGGTGACGCTGCACACATTGATGGCGCGAGATTCTAAAATCCCAGCTAAGGAAGCATGTTATCCTATTCGACGAAAGGTCTGGACATTAAAAGATTCAATATGTGGTTTAAACCAGGGTTTCAGGATACCAGGAATGACGTGGAAGGTTGTTTTTTGAGGATCCTGGAAATGAAGGTAGATTATTGTCGGTCTTGGAGACCTGGTTGCGTGACCGCAGTGCCCAAGGGACAACTGCTTGAGGCCGGCCTTTTTTGTTAAAGGTTTTTAGAGTATTATCTCCGCTCTTAAAAGCCCTTAGTGGGCACCCTTACCACCGGAGATGGAAATCCGTGAGGTAGGGTGAGGTGTGACATTTTTAGGGTCGACCTTTTCTAACCCTTCCTTCCTTGTTAGAAGGCAGCATCGCTGCAGATGCTGGTTATCCGAGGGAAACACCTTACTGCTGTCACACCGCTCTGCAGTAAGCAGTACGACTTCGCCCTCAGACCTTGTGTAGCTGGTTTTAGTCTCATCGTTCTCCAATCGACCTGCCTGGCATGGTAGGACCTGCAGGAACATATGTTGCAGCCAATATAGCTCGGTTGGGTCATCACGAGAGGCAAGCTCGACCACCTCGTCAAGGTAGTAGTTTCGGTCGGGGATTGGTGTCGGAGAATTCTAAGTAATAGGAATAGCTGGGTTGCACTAAGAGAGAATTATAACAATCTCAGAGAACGAAATGGCCTCACAGTCATTATCCGAGCTACAAATTTTCTCCACCATCTCAAAATGAAAGCCCTTTATTTTCAGCTATGATTTTCTTTTTATTATTTCTTTCAGGTTAATATGGTTCGATTTTTACTTGGCAAAGGTGCTGACGTGAATGCTATAACATGTATGGGATCAAATGCTCTACATTTAGCTGCACAACAAGGCCATTCAGCAGTTACTTACATTTTATTAGAGAGTGGAGCTAATCCAAATATGCGTAATAAGGTAATTAATTCGTATGACATTTTTAATCAAATTTCCATTTTAATCTTCATCCCAGTTGCCGCGAAATACCCTGGAACGGTCGAGAGTGATGATAGTCTGTTTCACCTTTCCGTCTCTCTCTCTCCAAATCCTCTCATATATCTATGTGCGTGTAGTTTTGCAAGGGAAGTCCTACCTACTTCCTTTTCAACATGGTCACAATGATGACCCATTGTGACGATCACAAAGGAATCAGTTTAACTAGTGCAGTGTCTAGAATATTATCCTCAATGATACTTCACTGCTTAATAGAGCTCGTGAAGAGCAGACTGAAGGAAATTAGTGCGTCTTCAGGTTTAGGACTGAATATATTGACCAATTATTTACACTTCGTCAGGTCCTAGAACACACGCGAATTCAGACGTACGACATGAGACTCACTTGTTGATTGAGTTTTGTATGGTCAAGATGCTGACAGAATCCAGCGAATAGAAGTGAAATAGTTGAACGTGTTAACTGCTTCATGTATCTCGGTAGTTTCATCAGTGCTGATATTCTGGTGTTTGACGAAATCCCGCCATGGACACAGAAGGCTGGACTGGCTTTTGCCAACCTGCGTCACTTATGACGTGTGCGAGATATCCGTCTACTAACCTGAGAACGAGTTCACTGCTCAGTGATTCACTCCGTCCTAGTACATAGGTGTGAAACGTGGCCCATATGATTAGAGTGCATTCGTAGGTTGCTGGTGCTCGATCATAGGTGACTTCGAAGCATTGTTAGTTATTGGAACGCTTGCTTTAATAATTCCCAGCTAAATCCTATTGCTTAGTATTCTCTGACCACAATACACTGGACAAGTTCCAAAGAATCAAAACACGGTGGAACAGGAAAAGATTATATTCCGAATAGCAAGGTTAAATGGAAATAAGAAGCCGAAGACGAAGGCAAAACAGATACAACGTTAGTTTCTTTATAGCATTTACATGAAAAGCTTCTGGACAGAAATTCACGTGATCGACTGGATTAGATTTAGCCAATCAGCATGCAGCTAACAATACGGGAGTTTTTTGCCCTGTTCTCCAAGAATCGATCAGGCGCTGATTGGATAGGAATTTAGCCAATCAGCGTAGTCGTGCTTTAATTCCATCGGTCCCACTAACATTGGTGTATTCTAGGACGATGTTGTTGGGGAACGGGCACTAAGTAAGGTTGGTAGATCCAATAGATAAAGTAGTGAAACTTCGTCAGTTTAGTTGGTCTGGACATGTCCTACGACACTGCGCTGTTGCTTAACATGAAGCAGTGGAAATGAGATTTAAGCAGACAACCTGTTGAAAGCTGATTTAATTAAACTCTCAATTACCACGTCAACATTTATTTTCAAGTTAATTTATGTTCCTCGTCGATGATAATTGATACTTTATTTTCAAAATAACGGCTATTTTTACAATTCATGAGAATTCATTTATGTTGTTTGTGCGGCTGTCTGCCTTTGTTCCGACTAACCTGTACTTATACACCATAATCTATTCACATTTTCATCTGAGCATGCCAGCTTGAAATTATACACTATGTTTCTACCACTATCTACATTACCATAACCTCTTAAAAAACCTTTTTCTTTGTATTCATCTGTTCCAATCGTTATGATGGTTATGATGTATCATTTTCCTTATCGTTATACGTAGGATTTCTCTCACTGTATAGCTTTGTGTTTATTCACTATCAGGGATATCTGGTGCTTAAGTATCCTTTCACCTTAATTTTTAAATTTGGAAACTGTTCTTAAGCATTATAATTACCAATGAAAACCGTTTTCCACCCCAATATTTCTAATCCTTATCATATTTCATTTTGTATTGTTATTTCCACTCTTCTTTACTCCGTAGTATGGTTGGACACCTGCACATGTCGCTCGTCATCGACATTATCTAAATATATTTGAAACATTACGTCTGGTAACCACGTGTGTTGAAACATGGGAGCATGAAAATACTGATGAATTGCTAATGAGTGCAGAATTGACATCATCTATATCATCTGGTCCCGAGCATCATATATCTTCTCTGAGCAGACAACATATCACTGCTAATCGGCTTGGTCTTGAACATCCAGATGTGATGAGAGATAATCCAATTACAGATACTGAAGAAGAATATAGTATGTCACGCAGTAATGCTTGCTGTTTAGAGTATATTTCTATGTATATCACTTAAAAAAGTTTTTTTTTGTAAGTTGGTTGGGGTTGTTGACGGAAAACACTGATGAATAATAACTAGCACGAAACATGAGTCCAGAGTTGCCTCCAGAGTCCTTCCAGCCACCTAAAATCACCACTTGATGTTATTTAGACTAATAGTCCGATAAAAAATTGGCGAATAAGCAAGCATGATATTGACTACTATACGATAAGCAATAATTTGTCAATTTTTTCCTTTCAGCTACACAAATCGTACTTTATTTATCAATATTTTATATGCTACAATTGACATGAAAAGCGAATTTCATTGTAGCTAAACAATTCTATCAATATAATGTTTGAAATAGAATGCCTTTGAATTCAGTCATCAGTTAAATTATTACTGGCACTCATCAGTAGGCTTGATGATCTTAGGTTAGATCTGCTGCGAGTTTTATGTTATATACTTTTAGGAGCCTCACTAACTAATCTTCACTAATTTACTACATTCTGGAATACTATCACTTTCTAACAACTTATTTACCAGTGCCTCTAAATAAAAAAAAGTATAGCTCAATGATCTAACAAAAACAAAAATTTCTTCCTCGTAGTAGTAGTAGTAGTAGTAGTAGTAGTAGTAGTAGTAGTAGTAGTAGTAGTAGCTGATTTAATTTGTTGCTATATGTTACATTTTATAAGGTAATTATTAACTTTTCTACTTCAGTTGAACCGGATTTCACAATTATGCCATCATCTCCTCTATTTTCACGTGCAAAAACTAGACAGACCGCTAGCCAAGAAACGTACACGTTACAACAACAATATGTCCAACAACATCCACAGTTACATTACAAATCAGATCATAAACGTTTCGATGAACAGCAACCTTATGGAAATCGTAGTGGTGGTTTAAATCATGCAAAAATAGCACCAGATAAATTATCAAATGTATCAGGTATGTGATGATGTCTGTTTGCTCGATTTTTTTTATTTTTATTGGTTCTTTATCTACTTTTTTGATGCTTTGAAAATGTTTTATTATCGCTGAAAAACCAGTTTGTGAAGATCTTTTACTTGAAACCGGAAGAACTATTGTCCCTCTATTTTCAACCTATCGGAAATATTCTGGTAACTAATTTATCTACTCTAAATATAGTTTGCGTTTAGTCACTCATTTAACCTTAAAAATGCTCTCTACTCGAACACTGTTAGTTAAGTGAGAATTCGTAGTGAACTTTCATCGGATCAATTACTTCAATTAGTGTTCGTCAGGTTTGTCCTTGTTTATCCGTTCTTATTTAACTTTCTCATTGACATGCTTTCAGAGACGACATTTCATCATCTGACTTTTCAGGAGTTAATCAGGAGATTCGCTTTCTCGACTAACAATATGCGAATGACATTGTTCTGTTTGGTAAAGACTCTGACAAACTGTAGAGTCTTCTGACCACCTTGAGCAACAGTGCAAATATGCTCGCGGTGTGACTCCCCGTCGAGATTTAAAATGTTGCTTCAGGATTGGCTTGCGTCAGAACCCGGACTAGTGGTAAAGAGTGAAGTAGTTGAGCGTGTCGACCGCTTCACTTATCTACTGAGTCTCATCAGTGCTGATGGCCTGGTGACTGACGAAATCTGAACACGGATACAGAATAATGGTTTGGCTTTTACCAACCTGCGTCACTTATGGTGTAGGCGAGACATCCGTTTGCTGAATAAAGGGCGAGCGCACTGTGTAGTAGTTCGGCTGTGAAACATGGCTGGCCAGAGTAGAAGATATTGGTAGGTTGCTTGTTTCTGATCATAGGTGTCTCCGAAGAATTGCTCGTGTATCATGGGACAACCGAGTAAGCAACGCTGTTATTAAGAAACGGGTACTAGGTAAGCATGTCTGGTCAATAGATTAAGTATTGAAGCTCTATTAGTTGAGGTGGTTGGGACATGTGTTACCTATGCCTAACCACTGACTGCCTCGATAAGTGACATAATCTGATGTAGGTATACGCTGTAAGAAATCTGACGGCGGCCAAACCAAAACATTACTCAATTCCGTGAAATCACCGACATGTGGATTGAACTATGTTAGTAGGTGTGGAGACTTCAAATGTCATTACTGAGAATCGTTTGCCATGGGGTGGATACATCCATCTTTTGTCTTCTCTCAAATACTAAGCTTCAAGTACTCATGACCTCTTTTTTAGTTTTTTCACCGGATTATACTACTTTTTTAAAGCTCAGCCTACCTTTGAATATCATGGTAAATAAACACTAGCTACCCATACCGCTCTCACAATCATTTGTGATACTGATTATTTCCTGCGAATAATCATGATTCTAATAGTTTCCTTTATAATTTATTTGTTTATTTTACCGTTCATGCTTTCACTTATGCAGGTGAGGATAGTATACACGAAGGCACAACAACCGAAAATGCTCATGCACTTGATTGGCGTGATGGGCATTTAAATTATGGAACTAGGGTAAAATCCACTATTTATATTAAATTCTGTGATACTCAATGTTCTAATTGCGTTTCTTTTAGTACTTTTTCTGATTGTATCCCTTACTCAATTATTTATCAAAAACTGTGAATATAGGTTCTAAGGTATTTATAACTCATTCTTTAGTAGTATATTTGTCATCCTTGAGCAGTAAGCCCAACGCTTGAATCTGTACTTAGTGATTCGATATTCATTCTAAGCATTTCTATTTTGGTTTATTGTCTATTCTGTTCATGACATTTTATTCGTGAAATAACAAATATAAATTTATCCATATTCTTTCATACCGTTAGGCAAACATCATATTCATATCACAGGGCCTCTTGTTTGATCATCTACAAGATTCGCAAATGTTGATATCACTATCTTGGATTTTAGGACAAAATCCCACTTTTGATTGACTTCAAGAATCGCTATCAGTGTATTTGCTTATTACTATGACATTGGAATTCGATTCAGTGCATCCTTTTGAAGAAAGGAATGTTTCTTGCATTTTTTTCAGTTTTATGACCATTGCTTTCACTTACATGTGCATACATTGCTTACTTCGCTAATCACATATCTAGCTTATTTTTCTGACTATAAATACTTGGTGAAGACTCAGCAATTGAATTGTTCCACTCACTCTCTCCGCTTTATTTCGCTTCCCATGCTACTTCGGGATGCATAAATTGAAATATGCATAAATTAAGATTGGGCAGGTTGCAATATGTTTAACAGTAGTAGTGCTCATTTACCAGTCGAATTAATCGATTCTAATTTGTCTTCTTCTCCAACTCAGGAGGCTGGAATATCTGAAACTCATTTAAGTCGAGATTATGCTGAACTCGGTATGGCAGGTGCTTCAAGTTTAGCAGGATTTTCTGGACTAGCTGAATGGGAATTTACCCCAGACAATGTACCGATTCCTCGAAGACCGATAGCTTCAGGGTGAGTACAGTGATTGTCGTCTCTATTTTTGTGGTTTTGAACTTCGAGTGTCCATGTTTTAAAACACGTATTCTGTCCCACTTCTATTAGCAATATCAAAGTATTAGATTCAAGTGCTAATTTAAATTGGTGTGGTACAACCTGTCGGTTTTTGAAAGTCACAACGGAAAACGACCATCCATTTTTTCACCAGAGAACAGTTTTTCACCTAAATAAACGATTTGATTCTACTCGAATTTCATTGGTTCTAATTAGACTGTTTCATTGACATATTTACCTTCTCCTCAAGGTCATGTAAAAGCTGCAATCATTCTAACCAATTACCATGTATTTTTTCACCTAAAAATTATTTTGTCTACTCTCACAACGTAACTTCAAGAAAATGGTCATGACTGCATTTACCATTGGTACATTGAAATCTAACGTAAATTAATAAAATGTATATTAACCAGAGAACGACTATAACTGTCCAGTAATCTACGTGATTTTAATTTGTTTATTGGGAGTATGATTGTCTTAAATCGTGACAATTCGCAGATTTATTATGAACATCTCGATAAAAAACAACAGGAAAATAAAAATGAGTCATTTTTATACCTGATACTTCGTGAGCGGTGAGCTAACTTCATCTCATGTATTGTACGTTTAAACTTTTGCGTTCTCAATGTTTTATCCTTGAAAGGTCCATGAGAAATTTTAATAGTCAATAATCAAAGGATCTGTAAAGCCCACTTAGTTTAAGTTATCGTATTCGCATGATATGTCTGGCAGATAAGTTTGAATTGTTTGTCCTAAATATGATGATTGTGATGAAAATTAGCTTCCAGCTTAATTTTTTGAATAATCACATTGAAAGGAGTTTTTCTGCCTTGTGTCTAGTCTTGTTTAACTAAGACTTATTCACTTAACATGATCAATATTCTTTTTAACCAACTGAGATTAGTGTTTGCCTTATATGAGCAGGGAGCTCATATAAATTGAGTCTCCAGTTCCTGCGAACCAGACTTCTGGATCGTGTAGGGAATAAAAGCAACCAGTCAAATTAATAGCCAGTACTTGAGAGTCTGTCATATTGTCATCTGTTTTCGTTATATTCACCATCATAAAAAGTTGTTGCGAATATAGTATATATATTCAAAGATATCGGTATATGATAGGCAACAACTAATAAAATAGTATGATATATGTGGATAGAAAAACAACAGACTCACCGTAATTGACTTAATTTGGCAGATTTTGCAGCAGCTGATGTGTGTTCAGAGTTGTCGCTCACCACTGTAGCGAATTAAGACTGATCGCGAGATAATGAAATTAATTCCCGTTAAGGCCGAAATTCAGAAGACAGGCTGTGATTGGAGAACGAGGTGTATGGATTGTTAGTCTCGTGATATCGAAAAAATATCGGGATGATCGATGTGAAAGCAGATAAATCCACCGAGGTCACCGAACGTTGTTAGCAGCACGTTGCGCGGTCGAAGAATGGATTTTAATACAGTTAAACAAAGGGAGTACCATCATACAACTATTTTCATAGTCAAATACAATAATAAATGTTCTCGTTTCATTAGTTGCGTTTTATCGGTAGAAATAATTCACTACACTATTTTCTACTACATTGAGTAGATAGTGAAGGGCCTTTAACTTATTGCTGAGAGCTATCTTGAATTCGTTGATTTTACCAGTATCCCGTAGAATAACCGTATTAGGCTTATGCGATACCGTCTGCTGAGTTGTCGAGTGCTTTGTCAGCTCCTCTTTTGGATTTTATTTCTACCACGATCCTTCTGAACTTTTTATTGATGCAGATGCTATTGATTTTCTTCTCCGTATTGTAATCGTGTGCAAGCTATGTAGCTCGATTGACCACTCTCTCAATATATCGTCTCAAATATCGTCCTTATTGTTATCATTGGTAGGCGCATAACGTTAAATGATATTGATTGTTATGCCCTCTTTCTGTGTTTGGAAGGATGCTTTGATGATCCTGGGTCCATGAGATTCCTATCCTGTCAGTGCTTTTTGTGCTTCTTTGGACAGCATCAGTGCAACTCCTGTTGTATGTGGAGCATTTTTTTCTTCATGGCCAGAGTATAACAGCATCTCTCCTGAAGCTAATCTTTTTTGTCCAACATGTGTTCAATGTGTTTCACTAATTCCAATTACCGCCAGATTGTATCTTTCCATTTCCACAGCAACTTGAATTACTCTCCTAATCTCCCACATTGTACGAACATTCCATGCACCTAAATTAATAGTTGCTCTAATTGTCAGAAGGGGAATTAGCCTCGTGACTTCCGAAGGAACTCGGCTTTCATCATGAGACATCATAACTCTTCTAAATGAAAACCTTTGAACTCTCAAGACAGAGTTTATATGGTTTGAATTATTTTTTCTGGTTAGCGTTTTGTTGGCAAGTTGGGTTTTTTCGTGATGGGTCGTTAACCTCATACCTAATCCTCTTCCTTTATGCGGGCTTGGAACTGTCAATAATTCCAGAGGGTTGAGTTTTGATTTTCTCTTTGGATTTTAGTAGATATCTAGCTTGATATTAATTGTCCTAATTCCATAAATTTCAACCTAGATTTTTGTAAACGAAGTTAAATTCTATGTCATCTGCCGAAACACGATACTAATTAATTTGTATAATTTTTCGAATCTTAATTTCCAGAAGAGATTGTTGTCTTTCACATGATCATGATCAGCACTTGTGACTGCAAAAAATACTGTATGGACAAATAATGTTGTCAATAGTAATTCTGTGCAAAATTATTTACGAAGTAATGAGGTTTGTATTCAACTCAAATGAGATTGTCTGCATGTAAAAGGACAGTAGGGCTAACTGACTTCGATGGGTATTTATTGGATGAAATCGATCAGTCTTCGTTAGTATTATAGGCTTTTTGAACGTATGATCACGACACTTCTTTCACATACCATGTGAATGACGATGCAATACAGTATATATAATAGCTGAAGACTTATGAAACCATACAATCTTTATGTTCGGATATTTATATGATATGAAGTTATGATGAAAATTGTCCTCTGATATAACATTGATTCATCCGCTCACTATCCTTACTCGCACACGTAAATAGGTTTTCTTACACAATGGTACTGAAAGTCGACTGCCATATTATCCATAATTCCAAAATTTACACGTAATTATTATTATTATTAATACTATATTAATAATAATATCTCACACCACTACTAATTAGATCGTTGTTAACAATAAGAACAACTCTGTCCCTGTACAAATCACGTAGTTTGCACGTGTTCTATGTTTATTATAATGTCGTTTTGATTGTAGTTTGTGAGTTTATTTGTAATCACTCTGTCGTACGGATGAATATAGGTTATTTAACCATTTCATTGTGTGTATGTAACTGTGTAAATATCAATATAATTCAAACATATAATAATTTATTAATATTTCACTTATTTTTATTATAACTTACATGGGTTTGAAATTGATTGACCGTCCATTTTAAAAATTAATACAAATCAGAGTTATTAGTAAGAGTTTACAATTTTTCGTTATTGACTTTCAAAATTGATTAGTCTCTGTCGTTATATGTGCATCCTGAACTGATTGAGTTGAATAATAGCTAATAAATTTACATTTTTTCAAGTCAAGTCATCGATTAGTAATTAATGATGGTCGTGAAATGTTGTGAATTGATTAAAATTGTGAAGGTGAACTATAAAATAGGAATCTACTGATAGGTGCTCTCTGAAAATATGTTAAGTGATGAGAATATGTAGAGGTTAAATGTATATCAGAATCGTAAATCAAAACCCTAGAAACAGTTGTTCAGAAACGCAGATCGTTATCAAATGAGTTCAGTCAGTAATTCGGAGCTTAACACTATTGATTAGTGCTCATCGGTAGTCAGTAAATCTGCGTCACCCGTCAAATACATCATAGACAGTCTAAACTTTGCAAGTTTTCTGATTGAATCATAAAGTAAACGTCTGAAATCAATACTGGGATGCAGTTATATCCATCTGACGAGTCCCAAATGAAAGAAAACGAGTATCTTCAGTTCACCTATTTTAAAAACTTAAGCCTGTTACCCCCAATGGAGCATAGACTGTCGACTAGTATTCTCCAGCCTACCGTCCTGGGCTGAAACCTACTGAGACATATGTTCTAGCCAATATAGCTTTGTTGGGTCATCACGATGGGCAAGCCCGTCCACTGTGTCAAGATAACAGCTACGGTTGGGCACCCTCTCATAGAACAGGTCTTTAAGGCCTTCATTGTTATCGTTGGTAGGCGCATAACGTTAAATGATATTGATTGTTATGCCCTCTTTCTGTGTTTGGAAGGATGCTTTGATGATCCTGGGTCCATGAGATTCCTATCCTGTCAGTGCTTTTTGTGCTTCTTTGGACAGCATCAGTGCAACTCCTGTTGTATGTGGAGCATTTTTTTCTTCATGGCCAGAGTATAACAGCATCTCTCCTGAAGCTAATCTTTTTTGTCCAACATGTGTTCAATGTGTTTCACTAATTCCAATTACCGCCAGATTGTATCTTTCCATTTCCACAGCAACTTGAATTACTCTCCTAATCTCCCACATTGTACGAACATTCCATGCACCTAAATTAATAGTTGCTCTAATTGTCAGAAGGGGAATTAGCCTCGTGACTTCCGAAGGAACTCGGCTTTCATCATGAGACATCATAACTCTTCTAAATGAAAACCTTTGAACTCTCAAGACAGAGTTTATATGGTTTGAATTATTTTTTCTGGTTAACGTTATTTTAGCCAGTTAATTTTCTTTGGGGTGGTCCGCTCACCTTAAACCCAACTTTCTTGCTGTCTCTAGTCTTCTGACTAGGTGGAGTTACTTGTTTCATATTAGCAAGTGAAAAATATATTATGCCGATTCAGTCTACTTAGATCGCGCAATCGCTCACGAAAGCTAATCACAATCCAGTCCTAAATATTAATCACAGTATAGTGCATTGCTTTACGAATGGTAGCATAGATATGTTCCATACTTCAACCCACTGAAATAGCTTTACTAATAAATGGACACTTATATATCATCATTATATTACTTCTTTCATTTTTTGGCATAGCTTCCTTGTCTCGTTTTTGGTGGATGCTCGTGGTGGATCTATGCGTGGTAGTCGTCATCCAGGTCTACGAATTTTAGTTCCACCAAATGCAGCAAGTGCACCAACCCGCATTACCTGTCGTATGTTACGACCTGAACGTACAGCACGCCCCCCCCAATTGAATGATTGTGAAGGATTAGCTTGTCGGTAAATCGTAGTTTTTTCTAAAAAATTTTTACCATTTCTATATGTTGTTTACTATGGTGACAACAGGAATGTTGAAAGAATCAGTAAATTTAACTTGTTAAGTTTTGTAATATTAACTGAATGTTTTTTCTTGGTCAGTGTAAAACGCCGGCATAAAATGTAGGATTCACTAGTGTTTTTTACCTACTAACCTTAGATAACCATTAAGTCAGGAATTGCTAGACTATCTTCTGATTTCAATTTGAGGCATCTCATTATTCACGACCTCCCAACCGGGAATCTAACCCATGACTTTCGGCCTTGCACACAAACGCCTAACCTCTATCTTTTTGTTTTTGAAATTAATTTAGCTTTTTATCTGTTATTTATTCTCTACTATTCATAGTATTATTGAGTTAGGACCTCATCCATATCGTTTCAATTCACCAGTTCTGTTAGAAATTCCACATTTTGCGACATTGCGCGGTCGTCAGCGTGAACTAGTTGTTTTACGTAGTGATAATGCTGAAACATGGCGTGAACATTCACTAGAAGCTACTGATCAGGCAGTTCAATCGGCTGTAGGCTTAAGTTTCGGTAAGTGTTTAGAAAATCACGTTGTACATTTCACTCATAATATTTATTAAATTCCTTCCGATAAAAAATCTTTTTACTAGTAGAGTTACGATTTGTTCCTTATTTTTTATCATAATTTGGAGATTAAAGGTTCTAAAATATTTTTCAAATAATAGAATGCTATGACACAAGGACAGACATATCAACAGAAAAAATCAGGACTTGGCCGCCTCAACTTACTGCATTCTATAAAAATACGTCATTAAACAGCGATTTCCTTCAGTTTACATTGTATTTTGTGTTAAATACTTGAAAATAGCATAAGTTTTGAATAGTAGATGAGTTCGTTTCCCATATTTCTGTTCAAGATTACGTAATAATAAAAATTAGGGATGGTCTTACATACACATGGGAGCGTGACCGTAGTGCTCAAGAGACAACTGTTTATGATTAGTAACAAACAACCTCCTGAGCAACCTTACATAAACTAGTACCGCTTTTATGAAACCAAGACCTTACTACCATCAATAACACTTTGTGGAGTAGGTTAACATGCATTATTTAGGACTAAGCTTTTATAACCATCTCTTCCATTATAGAAAGTCAGCATCACCGTCGCTACCAGTTGTCTAACCATAACATTTTACTGCCATCGTACCCCAGTAAAGTCAATACTACGACTTCACTCATAGACCTCAAGTTTACTGCTTTTAGTCTTACTGCCAATCCATATACCATGGTAGGACAAAAGGATGGAATGTTTCAGCTAATATAGCTCAATTGTTGTTATTTTATGGAATTGGACTTACAACATCTAGGTAGTTACTGCGGTTCAAAACTGGCCTGTAGGATTGCAATATTTACTGTCTTGTTTGTTTTACCTTTTGTGTCAATGGAATATTCTACTGATCAGTTCGTGATGCAGCTGCTGGGTACAGTGATTCATTGTGCCTGTAACTCATTTTCGATGCTTAGTAGTTGGAGGCCATCGAGTAGACTGAATAGTTGAAATCATTTCATCTATGAAAGTTATTGTTTCTATCAAAAATTATGTCCTAGCCAACTGGAATTTATCTTTATATCTGATTCTCTTACTATAATCATATCTATCATGATACAATGTCATCATATTATCATTCTCATTCTGAACTCGATTTAAGCAGATACGTTAGAGACGATGGAAGAGCTACGTGAGAAACGTATTATTCGTATATTGACCAATGATTTTCCACAATACATGGCAGTTGTTAGTAGGATACGTCAAGAATCATCTTTGGTTGGCTCAGATGGCGGTGTTCTTAGTTCAACCGTTGTTCCACAAGTTCAGGCTGTATTCCCTGAAGGTGCACTTCAGAAAAGAATTCGTGTCAGCTTACAGGTAAGTCTACATTTATTAGATTACTCTGTTGTCTTATTAGCCTTTAGAGTGTCGGATCTACAGAAATGATCAATTGAGTGTTCTAGCTATCACGGTATTTTTTCCTTGAGTTAGATATTGAAATTCAAGTAAGTTAGTTTCGACTCTGAGCTTTCGGCGCCTATTCATCCAAGGCATAATATGTAAGAGTTTTTCGAGGTTTTTGCACATCAACTTCTGTGGTGTGAAGTCAGCTAAGTTGGGAAGTGTTGAATTAGGGACAGAGCCATCTTGGTATCACAATATAACTGAAATTAAAATAAGTAAGTATTGAATTTTGACCATCAAACTGACAACATAATGTTATACTCCTTGCAAACATGGTGTTATACATTTTATAAAATGGCATTTTCGTTCAATTCCCCTTATTTTCAATGATCCTCCGGTTTTGTAATGTGAGTGATCTTTATTACCGTGTCAGTTAACTAGATGGTTGGTTCAACTTTTTTCTTTAAATCATGGTTTATTAAAAAGCTCAAACTCTGTTTTATAGGTAAATCACATATTTTACTGTCACTCCATGAATTGTTTGATATCAGTGTTTTTAGCCATATTAGACCGTTCCACCTTAAAAGTTGAATTACTTACACATTAAGAGAACGTAGTAAGATGGTAAATTAATCATAAGAAAGTGACATTATTACATTGCTTACTGAAAATTTCCGGGGCAATTGTCGATATAATGTTGTACATAAATAGTTTCCTGTAGTTTATTTGGGGCTCGTGTGACCGAACCTTAAGATAAGACGACAGTTTAGTTGGCTTAGTCCGCCTAAACTATCTATCTGGTACGAACTGCCTTCGGCTAACAAACAACACAATAATAGTGGGATAACAGTCGAAAATAACACTTATTGGCTATTGGTGCAGAATGAAGTTTCCCTAACTCTGTGGCTTGCTACCCAGATAGCCCGAATAAAACACAGCACAGCAAACAGGTAACTTCTAACTAAACAGTTCAGATTTCTGAATCACTCATAAAGTAACGTAGTGTAAAATCCTAACTACACACAAACAATCTGGTTGATATAACCATACTGTGTGGAAGTGAACTGAGTGACTGGCCTGTAATAATTATCACTTATACTACGAGGGAATCTTTACAAAGACACTTCACCACCATCAATCTTTTTTATGGTTAATATTATTTTCTGATTTTTAGGCTCAACCAATTAATCCGGAATTAGTTACACGATTATTTGGTAATCGTGTTACAGTATCACCAATTGTCACACTAGAACCACGTCGCCGTAAATTTCATAAACCAATAACTTTAACTATTCCATTACCCAAATCTATTGTCCGTGGAATGCTCAATCCGTCAGTGAACGATTTAAAATCACAAAACGTACCAAGTTTACGATTGTTATGTAGTATTACTGGTGGTACAGCACCGGCGCAATGGGAAGATATTACTGGGTCTACACCATTGTCAAAAGTGAAAGATTGTGTCTCCTTCACAACAACAGTTTCAGCGAGGTAAAATAAATAATTGTTAGTCTTGAGTTCTTTTCGAATTTTTTGTTTTTACTATTGACAGACATTTGTTGCTGGAAAATGACTCAGTTGAAGTTTAATATCAAGTTGTATTGTTTTCGACTTTAAAATAGCTATTACAAATATGGAGGTCAGTTGGTAATGCAATCGTAATGTAATGTAATTCAATAGGTTTCACAAAACCCCTTTATAAATAGCAATATTATTCTTTGTTAATGAACAACTAAGTAATCATATATATATATATATATATATATATATATATATATATAATTATTATTGATTTAATTTTTTTTTAATTTCAGATTTTGGTTTATGGATTGTCCAGCTGTACATGAAGCTGCAGAATTTGGTAGTATGCTGTATGCTGAAGCCACATTAGTTCCATATATGGGTAAATTTGTTGTATTCACCAAACGTTTGGATACAGATGAAGCATTGGTTAGATGCTTCTGTGTAACAGATGATAAAGTAGATAAGGTTAGTAAGCTATATAATTTTAAAAATTACTTGCTACTATGTTTAACGTTAATTATGAACCATTCGATCCACAGTCAAGTAATCTAATGGTAAAGGGTTACCCTCAGAACCCTAAAGTCCTTAGTATGACTCCAGATTTCGGTCGTGAATGCGCAATGTTACACACACTATAATCAAACAATCTCCACAAACTCTATTTAATACAATAAATCTTCACGTTTTTGTATCGAAAATTTATATGACAGCCTCTATTTACAATAAAAATTACATGGATTTAAAATTGTACGTATTACTATTACGAAAACTTCTATTAAAAAACAATTTTTGGTTGACTATTTCTCCATCTTGATAAATAATTGGTTTTATTAAATAGAAATATATGTATATAGAGGTTAATCATTTTCGTTCCTGGGTTAAAAACTTTTCGGGTATCTAATTACTAGTGAAATTCATGACTCACATTGCGTCCTATGTAGATCGATAGATCTCACTGATGATGATGCTCCTTGATTCTACTAGCAGACCTACTAAAACTTTTGAAAACTATAATAGGGCGATCCCTGCTAGTTGAATATATAGGAACAGTGAATAATTTTAGTCCTGTTGGCAGAGTATCGAAGTATCCCTCGGAAAAGTCTATAGAGGCCCAGAAACCCCAGTAAGAGCTTTATCCAATCATCTTTGATATAACCTTCGCAGAAACATTTGGAAAATAGCAGAACCACGTTCCACACTGCTACTATATTTAGTATGGTTCCCTAACCTCCATAAACCAAAGGTCGTGATTAACCCTAAGTATACTCATTTTTCTGTACAAAGTCTAACTTTGGCGTAAAACGTTCACGAATCATGCTCCTTTTCTCTTGTAGTGTAGAATTAGTCCATCGTTGTTAGAGGGGTTAATAAATCAGATCCTTCGTTTATTTGGAGGACTTATTAAGTTCCGATAACCCAAATTATTAAAGATTAAAAATATGAGCATCAATCGAAAAGTATGGAAATTTATAGATCAAATCACAAATCAGTTGTGTAACAAAACTGCGAGTTAGTCGTCAACCCGACCTCAGCTGCGACTTGCCGTGGTAGTCGGGCTTGCCTATCGTGATGGCACAACCGAACTGTATTGGTTGGAACATATGTTCCTGTAAGTGCTACCATGTCAGACAGGTCGATCATTAATTTGATTCCACCTTGTCCAGATAGAGAATCAACTCGGTTTACGCTTCTTCGAATAACCAAAGGACGAGCTTTTTGCTCATTAGTTCGCCCCGTCCTACTGTATGGGTGTGAAGCATGGTCACTGAGATGAGAGGACATTCGTAGGTTGCTGGTGCTCGATGATAGGTATCTTCAAAGAATTACTGGTGTATTCTGGGACCTTGGAGTAAGCAATACTGTTGTTAGGAAACAGGTACTACGTAAAGTTGGCAGATCAATAGATGAAGTAGTGAAACTTCGTCAGTGAGGTGTTGGAATATTTGTTACGTATGCCCAACCACCGACTGTCTTGACGAGCGATGTAGTCTGATGTAAGTATAAGCCGGAAGAAAACTCGGGGTGGCCAAACCATAACGTCGATTCAATTTCGGCTTCTCTGTATCCTTTCTGTATTGCGTTCATATAGAGAAGATACTTACTGAGTTTCGGCCAATCATCTGCCTTCCTCAAGATGGGATCACAAGAAATCTGTTGATGATTTGATTCTCTTCATCAATTCACCACAGTGAAGTTTAAGGTCACATGTTCCCAAACTTCACTTAGTCAAATGGTCTCACCAATGTTTTACGACATTCTGTTTTGAATAAGATTAAAAAATAGATTTTTCAATGGAACATTTTCATAAATACTTATCATTTCGATTTCTTTTTTCTTGTTTCTGCCAAGACTTTAGAATGTCAAGAAGGTTTTGAATTATGCGCAGCTTCTCCAGAAGTTGAAATAATTGAAAATCGACCAACTTGGATTGAAACAGCCGGTAATCTATTACCAGTATCGAAATTGAGTGAACAGTTACGTCTACATTTTAATGCATTCCACGAAAATAGACTTGCATTTCCAGTGCGTGTAAAAGATGTTCAACAAGAAGCTGCTGGTAAATTAGCATTTATGCGTGAACCACGTCAACCTATTCGAGTAAGTTTTTTTAATGCATTAATTATGATTAAGGAAATGTTTTTCTTTTCTTGAAATTACATTCTTTATAAAAATTTAAATATCTAGATTGTAATTTTTTCTCTAAATGTTTATATAAATATTTAAGTAACAGTATGATACTAAGTCAAACAGTTGAAAATTGAGTAAACGAATTTCTAGTTTTGCACGAAATTTAGAAATGAACGGTTGATTTTTATCTTTCATCTCACAAATTCCACCATTGAAATATATTTTTATAGTTCTCAGAACGTTTTAAATTGTTAGAAAAAAAACTTTTTGCTAATGTATTGGGCAGAAGTTCACTGAGGGGATAGTGCAGGTTATATATATTAGTTAAAGTAGCCACATTGTTTGTGTCTCAAAGTGAATGATACTGCACTAATCTCTCAACAAAATTATTATTTTCTTATCATTATCAAAATACAAGAAATGACTTAACAAGAAATAATATGTGAGTAGATCAACTTAACTTTATTTATTATTACTATTGATAGGATGGAGATGGTGATTCACAATATATTTATCATGAAATTATTCCTGCTCAAAAACCACTATGTACTTTAGAAATTAGACTTAGTTCAGATAATGGTCTTGGCAGTCAACGTGGTCTTGATCTCGCCCTGATTGGTTTAGAAAATCATCCAGAATTTTCGGATCAACTAAATGGAACTAGCTCAGCTGAATTAACAACGGGTTCATTAAGTTGTGTATTTTCTTATCCTAAATGTGTTATTAATGATGAACGAATTCCTAGTCGACAAATCAAAGAATCATATAGACCATCTGCTAATTGGGCTCCAAGTGAGTTTCTTTCTGTCTAAATAAATAATTAAGAATTTTACTAAAATATCATTTATTTAGTAAATTTATTTTGTGCAATGAGGTAGAATTTAGGACACACGTTTCGTCTCAACTTGATCTACCTGCGTCGCGGTTTTGTCCAAATTTTACGGGCTTCGCATGACCGTTTATCCTATAGTTAAATTTCTGTCAATATATTATAAATTCCAGCAAATAGTAAGTGTCACATTATATACCGTGATAAGTGTATGAAATATGTAATATTTTGTTTGAAAAAATCTTAGCTGGTAAAATTAGTGCTTACGTTTCAAGGAAAATTCAGACAACATCCCTCAGAAAAGTAGGATTGTAAAAAACCTAGGATAAACAAATATTTATTTGTGTTGAGACCTTCATTTTCTTCATTATTCATAGGTCATTTCGTATGACATTCACTGTGCTTGTGGACAGATATAGTGAATTGATATATCGTGCCGTAGCTACTAACTTGATGTGTTGGTCAGGCTAGGCTATCGTGACGACCCAACAGAGCTATATTGGCTGGAACATATGTTCCTGAAGGTTCTACCATGGCTGGCAGGTCGATTGGAGAACGATGAGACTAACAGCAGCAATTCAAGGTCTGAGGGCAAGGTCCTACTGCTGACTGTAGAGGGATGTGACATCCGTAAGGTGTTTCCCTCAAGCAACCGACATCTGCAACGATTCTACCTTCTGACAAGGAAGGAAAGATGACCCTAAAAAATGTCACACTTCACGTCACGGATTTCCTTCTCTGTGCTAATGTGGTATGGCACTCTGATCTTATGTACGTACGTACGAAGTTCTACATTGTAACTGACTGACTGACCATACCTGTAACTGAATTCCCATTTTCTTCACACCAAGCCAATAACACAGCTAATACTGTGTTTTCCCTTTCTGAAGTCATTCCACTGAATTATACTTCTTGAATAAAATCTTTGATCCTTAATATTCTGCATCACCAGTAATTCCTCTACTGTCTGCACCACTTTGGGATTTGAACTGACACTTGCGTTTCTTTGCGAATGCGGTATGGCAACCTGAACTGATGTACTTACGTACGAAGTTCTACGTTGCAACTGATTACGCGAGGTTGCAGTTAACAGTTGAGAAATGTGCGACAAAAGATTTGGACATTCTGATGAGAGAACTAAACACCAAGATTCGAATGGACAACACTGGATTTGAAGAAAACATTGGGAGAAACTTGCAAACCTATGTGCCCTCAAAAAACTGGTCATTGGCGGCACCAATTTCCCACAAAAACGCATACACAACGTTTCATGGATCTCACTGGATGTACGAAGTTCAACGTTGTAACTGACTGCCGGCAGGATATCCGTGAAGGCCCATAGTACGATCTAAACTGTGCAATTAAGTTATATGGGTTCGATTGGTAAAAACAGATACGTTTTGCTGACATTTGCGAACTAACTATAAAAGTAGGTTGAACACAGTTCTTTGATTTAATATCCACAATCATATTATTGATAAGCTAATCTTCTAAATGTAATTTGTCTCAACTTGTTTTATTTGTTTGAATTTTTTTCTCTCTTTTAATTAGCTTATACATCGGATGTAATTGCTTGTAGTAAAATTGACTTACTTCAAGTTGCTAGTGAAATCGGCTCAGATTGGCCTAAACTACTCGAAATCTTATTACCTCAATCTCATCTGAACACTTCATGCACTGTCAATCAACTAGCCAGTTGGATTAATGAAAGTGAACCAAAATGGCAAATCAAAAGAAATCGCTTAACTAATGAAATGGGTAAAATCACAGGAGAAAATGGTGGAGGTGATGTAGTTGGTAGTTTTGGTGGTCCAGTTAGTGTGAATGAATTACGTACAACACAAGATCAAGCATTAGCTGTATTATTGGCTTGGTGTGAAGAAAATGGGAATTCAGTTACAGGTATGGTCAGTCAGTCAGTTACAATGTAGAACTTTGTACGTACGTACATAAGATCAGAGTGCCATACCACATTAGCACAGGGACGCAAATGTCAATTCAAATCCCGTAGTAGTAGAGGTGTAGTGAACGAGAACACAGGTGGGGCAACCGGATTGTATTTAACGAAAATTACAGTGTTACTCAGTAAAATTGGAAAACCATATCGTAAATCGTTAATTTGCAAAATATCAGTCTATCATATCGAACTGGATTGTTCCTGTTGCAAAACATCAATCCATTGTCACTATTCATGCGTTTCATACAAATTCCATAGTGTTCTAACTCTTCCTTTCTTGATCTTCCCCCATCTTCTGCTGCCAGACATTACGTTGACACTCACGTCATGTACTACTTATAAGTAGCTCGCACACATCCCCCCTTTTAATAAGCTGTCGTCCAGGGACTTTGGTGTCGCTGCCTGCTCGAAAGAAGAAGCTCCCGCGGCCGAAGGAGTTGGAGGACGGAGATTTGCGGAGCTTCCTGCAGGAATTTGAGGCCGCGGTGGAGCTGGTGGGTGTGAAGGGGCCCGGGGCGGAGTTGGCGGTGCTGGGGACGCTGCGGGGAGGTGAGGCGGAGGTGGTAGAGGGAGGAGGCGCCGCAGAGGTTTCGGTCGGCGAGGCTGTCGGCTGATGGTGACTCGTTGGTGCTTGCTGTGGAGCTCACCAGATTGTTGCGCCGTGCTCTGCCGAATATCGATGAGGATTCGGAAGCACAGTTGTTGGCGTTGCAATTCATCGAGTGTGCTGGCCGCCGTGTCCCAGCAGCGGGAATTAGTAAACGCTACACGTTGGATAGATGCCGTATCCATTCCACACCAGCGGGCAAGAACAATGACCGAAGTAGTAATCCGGCATATTGGAGCGCGTCACGGAATACGGAAGGTGATATTAACTGACCAACGTCTCGATATGATAGACTGATATTTTGCAAATTAACGATTTACGATATGGTTTTCCAATTTTACTGAGTAACACTGTAATTTTCGTTAAATACAATCCGGTTGCCCCACCTGTGTTCTCGTTCACTACAGAGGTAGTAGAAGTATTAGCGATAATCAAGAAGAATAATGATTGGATATGTTATTCATGAAGTAGAATCTAGTGAAATAAACTTAAAAACAGAAATATAAAGGTGATGAAGAATCCAGAGGATTAGGATTTGAAGGAATCCAAAGAATGGATGCACCAACGACATTGCAAACGATTTTCAGTAATTTCATTCAAGATCACTAACCATCGATTACTGTCACCTTGCGGAACCTAACCTACCCCACCTACCAACATGGCTCAGTTCATTTGTCAGTCACTACAAAGGCTTGTGCCATGTTTTGGTTTGGCCGCCCCTAGCGTTCTTCCAAGCTACTCCTAAATCGCAAAAACGTGCTTGATGAGGTAGCCGGTGGTTGAGCATACGCGACACATGTCCTAACCACTCCATCTGATGAAGTTTCAATACTTCATCTATTGATCTGCCGTCCCTACCTAGTACCCTTTTCCTAACGACAGCATCGCTTACTCGGTTGTCCCAGAATACACATGGAATGAACTGAACATAATCCCATCCGACTGGTCTAAATCCCTGATTGTTCTAATTTATAAAAAAGGACAAAAGTCCTCGTGTGACAATCACAGAGGAATCAGTCTAACTTATATAGTTTCCAAATTGTAAACCTCAATAATACTTAGACGCCTAACTATAGCTCGTGAAGAGCTGACTCGAGAAAACCAGGCTGGTTTCGGATCCGGACGTGGCTGTATAGACCACATTTTTACAGTACGACAGGTCCTGGAAAACAGACACACATTTAGGCGTCCGACAATAGTTATCTTCCTGGACCTTAAGGCGGCATTTGAGTCTGTCGATCGTGAGGTTTTGTGGTAGTATCTGTCAGTGAAAGGTATATTAGAGAAGTACGTTAAATTTATATACACCACTAGTCTGGTTAGAGCTTATGGCGAATTGTCATCAGAATTGGTTACTTCAAGTGGTGTCCGTCATGGCTGTCCACTTTCTCCATTCTTGTCTTATTTACAGTTGGATTCCTGTGGTCGATGTCCTTCATACATCGGAATAGTTTCCTGCTGCCTTTTCTATCCCTCTTGCTTTTACTACTGATGACTGTACACAATCATTCTGCTGGCTAATTTTCTGCCTGCGCTTAAGTATTACCTGCCAGCAATGACGTTATCTGTACTGAAATCGTTTACATTGGCGGGTCGGGGTGACAAAGGAATGTGAGAAGGGTCAGCCGTGGATATAATAGGGATGTTAGGTGGTGTAGGAAGGATTTGATTTTGATCGATTTGATTTCTCGTGCTGTTACGAGTATGAGGGTGATTGTCACTTCACCACAGCTTCTTAAGGAACCTGAAAAGGAAGGTAGATTAGCGTTGATCTTGGAGACCTGGGGGCGTGACAACAGAATTTAAGGGACAACTACTTGAAGCCGATCACGCACGGCCTTTCTATGGGAGTTTTATGAAGTTTTAGCTCCGCTCTTTTCAAAAGGGCTTGCTGTCAGGGAAGGAAATCCGTGACGTGAAGTGTGACATTTTTTAGGGTCATCTTTCCTTCCTTGTCAGAAGGTAGAGTCGTTGCAGATGTCGGTTGCTTGAGGGAAACACCTTACGGATGTCACATCCCTCTACAGTCAGCAGTAGGACCTTGCCCTCAGACCTTGAATTGCTGCTGTTAGTCTCATCGTTCTCCAATCGACCTGCCAGCCATGGTAGAACCTTCAGGAACATATGTTCCAGCCAGTATAGCTCTGTTGGGTCGTCACGATAGCCTAGCCTGACCAACACATCAAGTTAGTAGCTACGGCACGATATATCAATTCTGTTCAACGCAGTCCACAAAATTTCATTTAATTAAATGCGGATTAGAATGCTTAAGGTTTTTACTCAAGTTTCAGAGTTGATCTTGTTTCAGCAGTTTAGTGCGAATAGTGATTAGTTTTGGTTGAGCATATATATATATATATATATATATATATATATACAGAAGGGTCATCGGTCTTGTGTCTTCTGAAGAATCTCGATATAATTTTGTTCATTGAACTCTCAGATTTCCTCCTTTATTCCGGCTTGGGACTAGTTATAGCTTCTAGAAGGGATTCGTTTTGACTTACATATCTATGTGTATAGAATACTTTGACAAAAAACACTATCGTTAAGTGTTGTTCTTCGCAATGATTTGTCACATTTTAATTTTCAGGCTTTTATATATCATTTCAATTTGATCTTAACCACAGCAACAATTTGTATCCTATTTTTTTCTTATCCGTTCCTTCTTATTCCAATCAAACAATTGATTACTAAAGTATGCATATTATTGTTTTCAACCTTAACATCCAGATACAGTATGATATGATGATTGATGATAGTTACATTTACATGACTTATTGCGTATGATAAACTGAGTAGATTATCACTTACAGATAAACACGATTTTTCTTATCAATTCTATCTTATTGCATTATCTGATTTTATCAAACGTACGATAACTGGTTTACAAGATTGTCATATTAAATATTCGAATCAGAGGGTAGCTTGCTAATTTTTATAAAATTATTTTCTACAAAAAATATTTCTTTACCTGGACGCTTATGTGTTGTTGGGACCGATTGATAGTAAGCACACTTATGCTTACAAAGATTAGTGATTTGTCAAATGAACACCGACACTCAAATTAATATTCATGTCCGAGAAGATGATGGTAAAAGTACTCAGCTTTCTGTAACATCAAAATAAAAACAGTGTTTGTACTAACTTAATACTTGGTTACACTGTATGGGTTTCTTATCATTACATAATTCATCATCAGTTCATCACTAGTTGAAGACTCATTCACTTGGTTTGGCATTGTGCTTTAATTGTGAGGAGCAGAGGACCAAATTTAAATAAGTGAAGCGAGGTTCGAACCTGAATCTTGATAGCTGAAAGTTGAACCTCTTAACTATTGAGCTGTAGCTCCATTATATGTTATTGAGCATATACATACAAAACATCAATGTCATCAAAGTTATCAAACCCTATTTACTTTTTTCGTTTCATAAAAAGGTAATGAGTTAGATCGTGCACTTCGTCAAATCGGACGTGAAGATGTTATTAAGTCGTGTATGCGTGATATTCGTTATGTGCTTAATGCTGAGGAACATGCAAAGGTGAATTTGACTTGTAAATTTCATATTATTTCTTGTTTCTAAGATCAATATCTCATTTCATTTTATTTCTACGTTAGTTATTTAATTCATTAAATGCTTTGCACAGATATCTTTCATTTTAACTTGCTGAATTCAACTAGAAGTAGCAAGCGAAAAACCCTTGCTTATTAAAGCAAACAGAATAAGAAAGATAAACTGATCAAGTTAAAAATATGACTGGAGGTCCCCAATCGAATAAATGATCGATAGCCTTCAATTACTAATAAGGAACTACACAAACTTAATACTTCTCACTGTTCAGCGATCAATCACCCATAAACATTTAAACCATGGTCAAGGTATTTGGGGCTTGAACGACCCGACGATATATTAGATTATGAAATTAGGTTGTATGGTTTCGAAATGCTGAGAAATATAGATTTCCTCAAGATGCTGAACTGACACCTTATTGACGAGTGCAAACCAGCACGAAATATAGATCCAAGAATTTCTGATGACTACTTGCAACTTCCCGCCGTCGGAACCTGGTTTCTTGAACTATCTCAGTCTATCTAACTGCCAAAACTCCACCACCGTCCTTAGAAATCTCAAGGGTTAATCTATCAGGATCTGCTGCTCTTCCTTACTTCACATTTCCGACAGCCTTTTCAACCGCTTTAAGAGTGAAAGGACTTAAACCATCTTGTCATTAAGGTTGACTAGAGATCGTGGTTAACTGAAGTGTCACTGAGTGCCAGTTCAAATGCTCCTTAAAATGTTCTGTCCATCGGACCATCTGCTGAATTGAGAATGAATAAATAGCCCCATCTTTTTGCGGTCAGATGTGTAATGCTGATTTCCTTGATAAGTCTGAATAGTTGTCTTCTGTTCCCTATTGCTGTTGCCTTTTCCATCCCTCTTGCTTTCGCTACCCATCACTGTTCGTAATCATTGCATAGGCTTCTTATTTGCCTGTGTTAACGCTGCCTTCGCTTCTTATTGTGATCAGAGACAGACGGGATGAGCCTCCGAGCATTTGAGAGCTAGTTCTGCTGTGGACCTCGACGCTATATCCAAACCAGTAGTGCATCAGAGATTCCGGATACACGAAGCCTAAATCGCGACGGTTCTTTGTCTTGACACGAGAGGGCAAATGAATGACTGGACCCTTTATGAGCGTTTAGGAGGATCAGGATACATCGATTGCACGGGATTTCAGAGTTCTAGCTAAGGAAGCCTGTCGTACTGCTTGGCAGAAAGTCTGGACAATCAAAGATCTAAGATCGAGTCGAGGGAGCGGTTTTAGGGGACCAGGAATAGCGTTTCGGGTTTCTTAACATTAGCTGAGTGAGCTGAGAGAGGTATACGAGAAGAGTTAGACTTAGAGAAGAGAGAGTTATTAGGAGGTGATTGTGGCACGTAGTTCTCGTGTGCTGTTAGGGAAATAATGGTGGATATCACCTTCTGCTTGCCCACATCGTGAAAGGGTATTTCTTAAGGGACTTTAAAAGTAGGTTGGGTTGGCGTTGATCCTAAAGACCTTGGGGCCTAACTACATAGCCCAAGGTAAGAGTGTGTACGACCTTTTTTTAACTTTGGACGTGTTAGCTCAGTTGTTCGAAAGACTGTATCACCAGAGACAGGAAACCCCAGCGTAGGGTGGGGTATGACATTTTTCTAAAACTTTCCTTCCCTGTCGGAAGACAGCATCGTCGCAGATGCTGGTTGTCCGAGGGAAACACTTTATTATTATCTCACCCTTCTACAGTCAGCAGTATGACTCTACTCCTGGCCCTTGGATTAGCAAGCTTCTGAGTCTTTAGACCAAAATATTTTTATAGATGGCTGCGCACCGACAACGAATACCGAACTTAAAGAAACTGTTTCCAGTTATTATCCATGTTCTTTTTGTTATTTTGTACGTCCGTTAAGAATTATTGCTTACTTTTCCAGGCTGTTCGTCAAATTGATGAACGTAAACGATCAGATTCTATACATCAAATGTTATCAGATCGTTTGTCAACTTCGTTAGTCGCAACAACAACTTTAATGTCTGGTATGAAAGATTCAACCTCTGGCTCTTTAAATGATGTTTTTAACCAATCTGTGATTGGTTTCGATCAAACGGAAGCTGTAAAACAACCAGATTTAATGATCACTCCGATACAAGATGAATCAGATCTAATTACGCAAACTCGTCTTGACTTAGTTATTGATAGTCCGAAAAAACCTGGCGTAATCATTCATAAAAGTGGTGATGAAGAAGCAGAGGTAGAAGCTTTGTTTATCCCACAACAAGCTCAAAGTGAAGTAGAAAATAATGAGGAATTTCGGCAACAACAGCAAACAGGCATTGAACCTGCTTGTTCAACTAGTCAACAAGGTGGCGATCCTATGATTATACAGAAACATGTAGAATTAATTGTTCAAGAAGAAGAGGATATGATTCGCGACAGTGAATCAATGGGTAGTTCCGAAATGATTTCATCTGCATTACAAGGTTCTCAACAAGAAATAAATGATACAGATGCGAAAATTCTGAATACATTAAAACTGGAAGGTGAAGTTGAAGATGGATTTCAGTGTCAGCAGCAGCCTGAAAATATTTCTGATTATCATAAAGGTGTAATCATTATTGATGCTTATTTCATATAACTTTAAAATAATCTGTTTTTTGTATGAATTTTAAAATAGAACTAATCAGTTTATTTACTTTGACACCATATATTAGTTTTGGTTAAATAACTGTACGCAATAGTTTTTTATATTAATGTTTAGCTAATCAGCAGTACCTATCCTCTACTCAATCTGAAACCAAATGTATAACCATGTTTCGCAACTAGCGCTTAACGTTTGAACTTCTGAATCAGCGTTCAAAGATTCAAACTTTTAATCTCAGTCGATTAACGATATTGTTCCACCATCTATTAATCAGTCTGAAACCTGACACAGTTAAAATCCATTGATTTCGACTTCTTACTGTTTGGTCAAAATCCATTTATAAATGCACGATAATGGCGTTGTTTTCTTATGTGTTTTCATATGTGTCTTCGAAGCATTGCTCGTATATCCTGGGACACCCGAGTGAGCAACGTTGTTAGTAGGAAACGGGTGCTAGGTAGGGATGGCGGATCAATAGATGAAGTAATGAAAATTCATCGGTTGATGGTTGGGACATGTGTTGCGTATGCCTAACCACCGACTGCCTCCACGAGCTTTGTTTTGTAGTGTAGGTGTAGGTTGGAAGACAGTTAGGGACGGCCAGACCAAAACATGGCAGAAATCCATGAAGTCATTGACCAGTGGACTTAGCCATGTCGATAGTTGTCGACTACCTAATTGGGGTCCACGAGATGATAATAATTGATGGTAAGAGACCCTGAATGACATGGTTTAAAACCGTTTGTAATGGCCTTGGTGCATTTATTCTTTGTGTTCTCTCAAATCTTAATCTTCTGGATTCTTCAACACCTCTAGTTTTGTCTTTCTAAACTTATCTCACTGAATCATGTTTCTTGAATATCTTCTAATCCTAACCTCTCCGATTACTTCTAATACCTTTACTACCTCTTCTACTATTGGATTTGAATTGACAATTATATCTCTGTGCTGATGTGGTATGGCGAAATGAACTGATGTACTTACGTACAAAGTTCTACGTTGCATCTGACTGGCTAAGTATACAACGTATGAAGTGAATGTACCAGGTATATGCCTTTCTGGCTTGATCACTCATAGTTCATTTCTGATGAATATTTTATTATTAGAACAGATGTTTTACTGAAATAGATTATTCAATTCTATTCCTATATATTTCGGTGAAAAGTGAAATCTCAAGCCGAATGACTGCATATATATTAAGTGATTGGAGCTCTTATGTGCACAATATTCAGTCGATATCGTTTGAATAAATGTCACTTATTAGATGACCGATGGATGATTAAGGACAAAGATTTTAAAATTACTGACAAAGATGTTACGATTCATCTAATGAAATAATGTATAAACGATTTTAAGTATTATTCTTGTGCATTAATTGACAGAGTTTATAGGGGATTAGTTTAAGTTGTAATATGCATCCTATACAGATTAATTTTGGTTGAGATGTCATCGAAAACCAGACTCAGTGGACCGACCTATTATGTAATTCTTCAGCAGTGAGCCTCCACAACCTACATAGGTTCGAATCTAGGACCTTCAGGTCGTGTGGACAAAACAGTAATACAATGCATCCTGGTTTCCTGTGATCAATTAACTAAGATCGGTCAATATTTTAAACTATAATCTGCGACAATCTTTACAAACTCGTATACAGAGAGGCATCACCTACGCAGAGCCTAACACAGATGTGCTTTGACGCAAGTTGTTATATTAAAAAGCACGATGAAACGGAACTAGCAAAAAAGATTGCAATAATGTAGTAGCTATGATAGAAAGAAAGACCGAACCTTGGGAATATGATTCAAAAAGACTGGATGAAAAAGTATGTAGAAATTCAAGATCGAGAAAGCGATAAAGGGTAAATGCGCTCACGCAACTGAAAACGATTCTGAGTCATTTCACCCAAATTTTCCAACTACTGACGGTGGTTATCACATTTACTTGCTCCTAGCTTTCTTTCAAACTACTCAACTAATAACCATCACTCGCTTGATATACAATTATAATTTTTATTATTTGTTCTATCACCTATTCAAATTGATCTAGAACAACATACTACTACCAGTTTATCACAGAATGATAACGATGATGCTGGTTTAAAGCAATCGACAAGTATCAACAGTACCAATTCTAATGATATAAATACTTTTACTAGATCACAACCTACAAGTGAACATCATTGGGACCAGGAAGATGATTTGTCAGATATTGTTTTACAAAATGAAACTGATAAAATAGCTGAAACTTATGTTCAGTCATCACATGGAGGTAAATCATTGTGTATCTATTTTGAAAATAATTGTACTTTTATTTTCTCACAATGGTGTTTGAGTCAATAACTAAGTATATGTTTCTGTAACACACTCTGTGCAGGTAACAGTTATTGGTACTGTTGACCCTCCGAATTACCCTGCTGACCACTATTAAACTGTGATAAAAACATACAAAATTTAAGTGTCTGAACTTTTTACTTAGTAACTACGTGAAATCAGACTTACCATGTTATCAACGTATTATTGCAGGACTCCGAACCAGAACATATCTACCGAGACTGCGTAGCTACTGGCATGCGCAATGGAGTAAATTTTAATTTGATTTGTATTGGTTGTTTGAATCATCCTATTAGTGTCATGGAATGCAATTGATCAGTCGTTAGTAGGACAAAGCGCATGCCCTGTATTCTATTACTAGCCACTATCCAACTTTACTGAAACACCATTTTTGACTGATGGCAATATCAGGATGTTTATATGCTGAAAGGAAACTGATCAATTACAGTCCGTTTCACCAACAGGAAAATTCAATGAATCAATAAAAATAAATTTATTATATCTATCTATCTATCTTTATGCTATATGTTCAATTGTATTCAATTTAGATCAGAGTAGTAATGCTGCAATTCCAACAAGTGATCGTCCGTCATTAACTTCAGAAATAATTGATCCTTATGTTGCTAATGTCGATGAGGCTGCTGACGTCTGTGTTGATGTTTATGATCAATCACAAAGTGATAAAGCAGTCACTCGAGAGATCAATGATGAAACACCGGATATAAGACATGCTCATCATGTTGGGAATACATCAAACCAACTACTGAATAATAGTAGTAGTAGTAGTATGCAAAACCTTGAAGCATATAATGAACGCGATGTTTTTGGTGATGAATTCAATGATCTGGAATCTCCAGGACAACGACAAGATAATTCTATCGAACATCAACAACAGCGATCTCCGGTTGTTGCTTCATCAAATGCACATCATGGTCTTGAATCTACTTCACATAATGAAGATAATAACAATGCTGTTGTTTAAAAACATTCAAAAAAGAACAAACCATATTGAAAAACAAAAGATTTATTAAAGAAAATTTGATTTCATGTTACTTTTATCCTTTTCTCTTTTAGCGTAGATGTTGTTATCCTGCATTAATCATCATTTCAACTGCTTACTCCTTCTTCATATGAGAATGATTAGAATGTGGTCTGATGGGTGGTTGTTAGTGGAGAAATAAACACTCATCGAGTTATTGTTGTCTTTCTTTTTTTTTTACTCTTCCCCTCTGTTTTCACACACGCAGTTTGCTATGCCTTATCTAGTCAAATATATAATATATATATATATATATATATATATATATATATATAATGTATTCATTTCACTTGTCTGAACATACATAATTTTATTTCCTTATACTCCTCTAATTAACTAACTAATCAACATCATCATCGCTCAGTTTATTGCACTCTGCATCAGTTAATTTCTACTAAATCTTAAAACGCAAACCATAATAGTATGTTATTATGTAATTCGGATTTATGTGTATTGTTTCTTATCTTTTTTCTGTTTTATCTGCCCTAATCACTACAATCCTTGCTGTTGCTTTGACTATATTTATGCGTATATATATATATATATATATCTAAATTCGGAAAATTATCCAACGAGTAAGGAAACAATGGAAATAATATATTTAGGCAACTCTTTTCACAAGTTTTGCTTGCTAATATTTTGTTGATTTTATGGTTTTCTTTTACTGTAAAATTAAATTTTATCTACTAGTTTACTTTGACATAAGAATTGGTTGATGTAACTTTTATTCGGATTTATTAGAAAGAAAATATGCATAATCTTCTACTTGTGTACGTGTGTAGTGGGTAGTTCTTCAGCTCAATCTCCATATTATTTTCAATTCCTTGAAATGAACAAATGCATAAGTCCGAAATAATACTAACAACACATAGATAAAGCTATTAGCCTGATTTTGTAACTGTATACCATTAAAGCTACAGCTCTCCTGTATGATTCTTGAGATTAATAATAACAATTTTTGAAAGACGAGTACTGTAGATTTTTCTGGTTTTCTTCTTCAAATCATAAACACAGTATGTCTAAAAAAAGTTTTATTGTCACTGCTACTACCGTACGCACCACTGATATCTTCGATGTTACTTTTTTCAAAGGATTTCAATACGAAATTTCAAATTGCTGCTTACATCGACAACCGTCCTTTTCCCCTTCACCGCTATGGTCATTATTATCTTTATATTGTGATACTGAATATCACCATAGTAACTAACGCATGACAGTAATAATAATAATATTTATTACTTTTATTGGGCAGTGAATTACCATAATGACTTTTCCTATTGTCTATTATTGTTTTTAGCTTTCGAGACTGATTTACTTGTCATATTTTTCTCTTATTGCATTGCTGATGTGTTTCTTACTCCCTATTTCTGCTTTGAACTAACCGCCTAACCTGTTCTATGTGTATATCTTGTGTGTTTTCATGGTTTTTCTACAAGAATAAATTAATTATAACACGCTTACATGATCATAATTGTTCCATTAACGATTAACTATTGTGATCTGTTTATTATAATTTTGAGTAATGCACATATACTTATGTGTGTCTGTGCACGAACGCACATTCATCTGCGCACTAATTTTATTTTATGAGCTGAAATCAGTTGAGTTATAATTACGATCTTTTGATTTTACTCAGTGTGAATGATTAATAAATGGACCCGAGTTAGATATCAGATAAAAAATAGGGGGCGCTGAACAGAAGTATGAGACTCATCAGCAATGCGCATCCTCGAATCCATCGATGAGATCTAGGTCTTCCAATCTCACGAGCAAGCTCTTAACCCCCCATTCCAGTTAGTCGGACTTTCTTGGTGTCTGTTTAACTTTAATTAATTCATGACATTTTCCATCCATTTTTGACTGTCTTCCGTGGTTAACTCTCACATATCACACGTTTAAACTCCACTGCTCACAGATTCCTGGTTTTCGGTGGATGTGTAGTTTAGGTCACTGGACACTAGTCTGTTTCCTCCAAAAAATTAACAGCTACCAAAAATCTTGAATATTCTGGGTTCGATACTTAGTGGTGCTCTATAAGACTAATAATACACATTTTATTACAAACTTTATTGATAATGGAGGGGAGTTTAGTGTCGCTGCTCTTCATTATGCTGTGCATGACACTTAAACATTAACGATTAGTAATAGACACCCTATAAAGCTTATCCCGACCGTAGCTGCTACCTTGACGTGGTGGTCGGGCTTGCCTATCGTGATGACCCAACTGAGCTATACTGCCTGGAACATATGTTCCTGAAGGTTCTACCATGCCACGCTGGTCGATTGGAGAACGATGAGACTGAAACCAGCTACCCAAGGTCTGAGGGCGAAGTCGTGCTGCTGACTGCAGAGGGGTGTGACAGCAGTAGGGTGTTTCCCTCGGAAAACCAGCTTCTGCAGCGATGCTGCCTTCTCACAAGGAAGGAAGGGTTAGAAAAGGTCGACCCCAGAAATGTCACACATCACGGATTCCCGTCTCCGACAGTAAGGGTGCCTACTAAGGGCTTTCAAGAACGGAGTTAATAGTCTAAGAACCTCTCATAAAATGGCCGTGCGTGACCGGCCTCGAGCAGTTGTCCGTTGGGCTCTGCGGTCACGCTCCCAGGTCGATAAGACGTTCACTAATCTACCTTCCTTTTCAGACTCCTCAGGAAACAACCTTCCACGGTGTGGGCAGCCGGGAAGTGACAGCCGCCCTCATACCGGTAACAGCACGTGAGACCGAATTGGCCACAATCAAATCCTTCCTACACCCTCCTAACATCTCTCTAATCTCCATGAGTAACTCTTCTCGGAAACGCGATTACAGGATCCTAGTAAAGTCATTAGTCTGATTTCCTCTTGTCAAAATAAAGAAGCAGCTCGATTTACTCTTCGTGTTTCTGGAAGCCCTGATGCTGCTTGCAGGGGACTTGCTGGCGTAGGCATAGCATCGAGTCATAGAGCTGGACAATCTTCCCTAGACTAGATCCCTGTAGATAGTCGCCTGTGCGCTGTCCTACTAAACGGGACATTAAGGACTCGGAAAGATAGGGACAATCGCCGTTGCCTCTTCGTCATATCTGCCTATGCCCCCACTGACTGCAGTTCAGACGAGGTGAAAGATGAGTTTTACAGAAAGCTTTCGGACCTCCTCCAAAAAGCTAGGCGCTCTGATGTAGTAATAATGGCTGGTGACTTTAATGCTCAAGTAGGTAGACTAAGTGAAAATGGAAGGACACCTAGGTGGATGTTATGGTGTCGCGGCTCAGAGAACAGACAATGGTGACCGTCTGTTGCAAGCATGCTCAGACAACCGCCTATTCTTAGCAAAAACAAACTTTAAGCATAAGGAAAAGCATCTGTTGACCTGGCGACCTCCAAAGTCGTCTCAAGGTTGAACTCAGCTAGATCACATCGCCATCAGCCACCGACGGAGGGGTTCGATAGAGGACTGTCGCTCGTACTGGGGAACATCTTTAGATTCATGTAAGCGTGGATCTCAGTAGCATCTACCGAACTGATGGATGCTCGAAAACTCATCCCACCTGGCTCTCTGGGCGACGAGGAGCGGAGTCAGCTTAGACGTACGCTGATAAAAAGCCTACGCAATGATCGAGAACAGTGGTGGGTGGAGAAAGCAAAAGCGATGGAAAAGGCAGCGGCGATAGGCGACATTAGGCAGCTGTTTAGACTTATCAAGGAAACTGGTATTAGGAACTGAAGTGTGAGTGAGACTATTTCGGAAAAGGATGGTCTTATTATCTATTCTCAATCCAGGAGACTGATAACACTTTATGGATCAGTTCAACTGGCCTCCAGCTACTCTATAGTTACCCACGATCTACAGTCATCCTGAATGGCAAATCGACGTAAGTGCCCTAATTTTTTATAAAGTTGAGAAAGCGTTAGGAAATCTGAAGCGAGGGCGAGGTGCGGGTCCTGATAGACTGACCCCTGAGATATTTAAGGATGGTCCAGTTTTAGCAACTAGGTTGACCGAGATCTAAGGTAGAATCTGGGAACTGGACGTAATCCCATCCGACTGGTCTCAATCACTGATTGTCCCAATCTAAAAGAAAGGACAAAATTCTTCTTGTGACAATCACAGGGGAATAAGTCTAACTAATATAGTATCTAAAATGTTGACCTCAATAATACTTAGACGCCTTACTAGAGCTTGTGAAGAGCAGACTAGAGAAAACCAGGCTGGTTTCGGACCTAGACGTGGCTGTATAGACCACATCTTCACACTACGACAGGTCCTGGAACACAGACACACATTTAGACGTCCTACAATAGTTGTCTTCCTGGACCTTAAGGCGGCATATGAGTCTGTCGATCGTGAGGTTCTTTGGCAGTCTGTCATTGAAAGATGTACCAGAGAAGTACATTAACCTTTTACAAGCTCTCTACTCGAAAACCACTGGTTGAGTGAGAGCTAATGGCGAACTGTCATCTGAATTCTCTTATTCATGTGGTGTCCGTCAGGGATGTTCGCTGTCTCCATTCTTGTTTAATTTTGTCATGCTCCTAGAAATAACCTTATCCTCGTCTGAATTTTCAGGAGTCGACTTCCTACCAAGGGCCACGCTTCCTGACTTAGAATATGACATAGTTCTATTTGGTGAAGACACTGACAAAATGCAGAGTCTTCTGACTACCATAAGCAAAAATCTGAGCATGTTCGGGATGCGGTTTTGCTCCACGAAATCCAATCTGTTGCTTCAGGATTGGCTTGCGACTTCACTGTAACTAATGATAAGTAGTGAAGTAGTCGAACGTGTAGACCGCTTCACGTATCTGGGGAGTCTCATCAGTGCCGATGGCTTGGTGATTGACGAAATGTCAGCTCGGATACAGAAGTCTCGATTGGCTTTTGTCAACCTGCGTCACTTATGGCGCAGGCGAGATATCCGCTTGCTAACCAAAGGACGATTGTACCACGAAGCAGTTCGCTCCATCCTACTGTACGGATGCGAAACATGGCCGTTAAGAGGAGAAGACTTTCGTAGGTTACTGGTTTCCAATCATATGTGTCTTCGAAGCATTGCTCGTATATCGTGGGACACCCGAGTGAGCAACGTTGTTAGTAGGAAACGGGTGCTAGGTAGGGATGGCGGATCAATAGATGAAGTAATGAAAATTCATCGGTTGATGGTTGGGACATGTGTTGCGTATGCCTAACCTCTCTGATTACTTCTAATACCTTTACTACCTCTTCTACTATTGGATTTGAATTGACAATTATACCTGTGCTGATGTGGTATGTCGAAATGAACTGATGTACTTACGTACAAAGTTCTACGTTGCATCTGACTGACTGATAAAGCTTAAAGCTATTTTTAAACATTATGCTCCGTTCAGATGAAGGAAGAACTGTTAGTTATTATTTCACATTACAATCATTCATTATGAGCATTTTGTCTATTCCTAACTATAAACACAAAATAAACATTACTGTTTAGGACCATCCAGCTGCAGCTAATAGTTAGATAAGCAGCTTTCTATAGATTATATGAACATCTAACTAAGTACAAAGTGTAGGTCGAGTAGAGTACCATGCCGACTATTTCCCATTATCTAACATTTCAAAAATGCATGTGGTTTAGGTATCTATTGGGGACGTTAGATCCCGAGAACTGACTTGGAAAAGGTACTGATTTTGTCACTTATCTCTGAAATTTCGGGAATTTTAGCTGTCCTACAAAAGACGCTTATTTGACCTTCGGCTTACAATACCCATTCTTGACTGTTATTAGTTGATGCATTATTTTAGTACGCTATTTTGTGGCTCTCACCAAGGGCGTTTTATCATTGTATAGATAAGCTCGATTTGTGTGCTTGTGAACATCGTCTTTTCTGGGTGCCTGTGAATACATTCTCTCTACGTCTTATCAATACTCCTTTTAGTTAGCGGGGCCTGGGACAGTCGGATTAGAATAGCCTATCGTGTCACTGAATTGTTGATCTTCGTTTCGTTTACCGAGTAAGGTCAACTCGTAATAGTTGCAAGCATATCAGTATCCGTGTGCAAAATTGTTCTTCACCATCCTTTGGAAAACTAAGTAGTTCTAAAGTGAGTATTTTTATTTCAAACAAATCAAAAAGTAAAAGCTAGACGATTTAACGCATGAAAGTTTAAAATGAAACCGAGGTTTCGGGTTTTATTTCCTCTGTTATGCAAAAACGGAAAAATACTAAATTAAACTCGTTAGTTCTCAGATATTGCATTAAAACAAGAATACACATGCTATAAAAGAGCAGCGAAAGGTACATACTATGATTCTCATTCTCTACTGGTGTTTAACAAAACGTAACTGCTACATTTTGCAATAAGTTTGTGGTCTTGAAATATTAAAATGAATAGTATCGATGATGATTAATACTATACTAATTTATGCAACTAAACGTGCGAGTGTGAATACCCATGATCGATCTCAGGTAAAGCAAACAAGCATGGGGGAGGGGCTAGTTAAGTTATTTTCAAGTTAATAAATCACTGAACAGAAACAAAATCATCAATAATAATGTTGGGAATAATTAAGATCTGATTAAATCAAGGTAATTAAAGTTAATACAGAATAAACTGTATTGAAACAAAATCATCAATAATAATGTTGGGAATAATTAAGATCTGATTAAATCAAGGTAATTAAAGTTAATACAGAATAAACTGTATTGAAACAAAATCATCAATAATAATGTTGGGAATAATTAAGATCTGATTAAATCAAGGTAATTAAAGTTAATACAGAATAAACTGTATTGAAACAAATGAAAGTAATTTATATTTTCTGTCTGCTTTTTTCTCTTATATACCTTTCAAATTAGGATGGATATACTGCTTATTTCCTGTCAGTTCCGGCCATGATACTTTCCGATTCGTAAAGACTATCATGTTTGGCCATAATACGCATTAATGGACGTAGTCTAAGCCACCATTCTTCTTTAGGTAAACGATGTCTATAAAAGATAAAATTAAATGGATGAAGGGGTTTACAAATATCATTTAAGTTTGAAGTGAATTTCAACGAAAGATTTAATGAAATTAGTTGGAGAAAAAAACCACTGAAAATAAAGTCAAGCAAATAAATAAAACAGCTGTGTTGAATGGTTTCCATGATTCTAAACAGAAGATTTCAGTAGTTAATCATAAAGATCCACAATCAATTGTATAGAAGAGAGAGAGATGAGTATTTGACGGAATATTTATCAGGGTGGTTCTTTTGATTGTGGTGTTTGTTCATACAAAAAATTACTTAAAACTGATTATTTGAGGATAACTGCTTGTTTACACCATAGATTTTTAGTCCTCGTAAAATCATCATCAGAAGGCTATCTCGAAGGTGCAAATTGAATATCCGTGTCACAATCTGGTTTTCGAAACTCAGTAGAAGTAATCGTAAGAATAACTTTTCCCAGTTATGATCAGTAAGCGGCAACCTAATGACTTGACAATCTCAGGGCTATTGTTGCCTTAATGATACAGTGGGCCAATCAAACATCAGCCAGATGTTAAGCGCATGCGATTGACCAAGATGTTATTTTCGAAAGAAGGACATCCCATTGGTGGAAAGACGTACCTTACATTATCAAGGGACATATATATTTATATAAGAATGTGCAGTTAGTTCCTGATTCGGTTCAGTTAAAAAAAAATTAAATCTTTGCATTTAGAAAGTGTTTATACAGCCTGCATTATTTGGCCTTTTCACATCATTTTGCGAATAAACAAACTTTCATTTTTTTTCTCTATTTAACAATATCTGTTATTATTTCGAATAAATAACTACTTAAATCAAAATGTTTGGTTTTCTGGTTTTTATTCCATACAATTTGCCCCAATAACCAACCGTTCGAAACCTATTTTTGATTGCCAATATTGCTATTGGATTAATGTTCCGACCACCTCTTAGTTGTTATTGACTTTTTATATTCAATTGTGAAACACTGTATTTATTAGTATCAGGTCATGATAATCAGGAACTTATTAATAAAACACTTTTCCTTTGTTCAAGTTATATGTTTTAAGATATCTAAATAGAAATTATTTAAAACATGTTATCATCAGTACATTTTAGAACAATTAAATATTTCAAAAGAAACTATAAATTTACACGAAATCTGTGTGTTCTCTCAATTCCATAATATTTGAATAAGTTGTCTGACGACGTACAATACCAATTAGTGTACAACATAAATGTCCAGGTGTGTAGACTGTAGCTATTTTTAAAACAAAAACACGCAAATATAGACCAAGTTAATTACATGCGTACAATGAAGATCTGATAGTAAGCATTAATTATCTCTCTAACTGTCAGTTTCTACCACTTTTGTGGTAAACACATAATCATAGTTTTAAAGTATCCTTAGCCGATTTCAATCATATCATGTGTGAGACAGTTATCTATAGCAGGTAACGCAAGACGATATGACAATTTCGAGAATCGATTGGAGATAAAGATGCACAGTAGTCTAGCAGTTAGCCACAAGACCGGATGTTCTAGATTCGATATCCAGTGGAGTGGCGCGCACTTGCTGCTAAGTCTCATACTGGGACGGAATAATTGTTCAGTACTGCCTGGTTTTCAATGACTGTATAACTGAGGCGATTTCATGGTGTGAACTATGAAACCAACTAAGACGCTATGGCGACTGTGGTAAAGTCCGATAACACTGATTTTGACTTAAAGCTCAAGATAATGTCTCACTTTGGTAATGAATGACGCGTAATTCAACCAGTTTTATCATGTTCTTAGATATATATATATCTTGCTGTTTCGTATCGGAAACCTCAAATCATGATTTTAATACTGAAAGCTTGAAGTCGTTTGCTATTATAGTCTGATGATCACGTAGCAAAAATGCACTAATTTCATCGTACATACACATGCAAACTGCTCAAATTGAAAATATTTGTCTACATAAATTAGAGCACTGGTAAGCTGGTTCGAGTTGTCAGACTGAATAAAATAATTTGGTAAAATACATGCAGTTTGGGCATATTTAAACTGTAACCAGTAATAGAGTATAGGACATGTGTATCGTCCTATTCCGGGCTCATCAGCTGGATGTATATGCATTCCAGTGTTGATATTTACAATAGAAGCTTTCTCATAAGACACCAATGTGTTATTCACTGAGCAACTGAGTTCAGATAGATACATGTTCAACAAACTGGAAAGTAGTTTGTAATTTTTTAGTTGTTGATATTTCAGACTATATATGAGCAGTTGGACATCCTCAGCAGATCCCGCCGTAAGAAATAATGCAACTGCACTAAAACCTGTGAAGAAGTCTACAATCAATGCATTCACTTAAAGTTATCGGAATGGAAACAAAGACTGATCGGTGGCCTGCTTGAATATTTGGGCTACCTGTTTTCCCTCAAATCAAATATTTCAACAAGTTACCTTTTTAGTTTGTTTTATCACAGCAAGCCTATCTATTAATCGCATAACTTATTCCGGCACGTATACAAGCAGGTTCCTCAAGAAACAACCTTCCACGGTGTGTGCAGCCGGGAAGTGACAACCGCCCTCATACCAATAACAGCACACGAGACCAACTTGGTCAAAATCAAATCCTTCCTACACCCCGTAGTACCTCTCTTATCTCCACGAATAACTCTTCTCAGATTCATTCATCACAGTGCAAAGCTAATGCAGACGATACGAGTTCGCGAAACGTCGTTCCTAGTCTCCTTAAACCTCGCTCTAGACTACATGTTGGAGCATTTAATGTACGGACATTGTGTCAAATAGGGCAACAGGCTTCCTTAGCTAGGACTTTAGAATCTCGTGCCATCGATGTGTGCTGCGTCTCGGAAACGCGCATACAGGATCCGAGTAGCATCATCCACTTGGCCACAACATGTCAAAATAAAGAAGCAGCTCGATTTACTCTTCGTGTATCCGGTAGCCCTGATGCTGCTTCCCGGGGTCTTGCTGGTGTAGGCATAGCATTGAGTCGTAGGGCAGAGCAACCTCTCCTTGACTGGATCCCAGTAGATAGTCGTTAACGCGCTGTCCGACTAAACGGGACAGTAAGGACTCGGAAAGATAGGGACAATCGCCGCTGCCTCTTCATCGTATCTGCCTATGCCCCCACTGACTGCAGTTCAGACGAGGTGAAAGATGAGTTTTACAGAAAGCTTTCGGACCTCCTCCAAAAAGCTAGGCGCTCTGATATAGTAATAATGGCTGGTGACTTTAATGCTCAAGTAGGTAGACTAAGTGAGCAGGAGAGACACCTAGGTGGATGTTATGGTGTCGCGGCTCAGAGAACAGACAATGGTGACCGTCTGTTGCAAGCATGCTCAGACAACCGCCTATTCTTAGCAAACACTAACTTTAAGCATAAGGAAAAGCATCTGTTGACCTGGCGACCTCCAAAGTCGTCTCAACGTTGGACTCAACTCGATCACATCGCCATCAGCCACCGATGGAGGGGTTCGATAGAGGACTGTCGCTCGTTCTGGAGCACATGTCTAGATTCAGATCATGCCCTAGTACGAGCGCGTATTTGTTTGAAGCTTACTGGGCGTAGGAAAGACACCGTAAGAAAGCCTCTTAGGGTTTTACTTAATGATAATAAGGCGAAAATATATTTCAGGAACAACTAGAAAGACAGTTAGGCGACCATTTAAGCGATTCCCATCCGGAAGCAGGTTGGAATGATATCAAAAAGGCTGTGGAAACAGCAGTGATATCTGCTAGTAAGGTTGACCATAAGGCTAGAATGAAACCGTGGATCTCAGTAGCATCCACCGATCTGATGGATGCCCGAAAACTCATCCCACTTCGCTCTGAACATGATGAAGAACGAAGTCAACTTAAGCGCAGACTTATAAAAAGCCTACGTAACGATCGCGAACAGTGGTGGGTGGCGAAAGCAAAAGCGATGGAAAAGGCAGCGGCGATCGGCAACAGTAGACAACTTTTCCGACTTATCAAGGAAACTGGTATTAGGAATCCTAGTGTAAGTGAGACTATCTCAGAAAATGACGGGACTATTATTTATTCTCAATCCAGGAGACTGGATCGATGGGCAGAACACTTTAGGGATCAGTTCAACTGGCCACGAGCCACTCTTCAGTTACCCACGATCTCCAGTCATCCTGAATGGCAAATCGACATAAGTCCCCCTAGTCTTAATGAAGTTGAAAAAGCGTTAGGAAATCTGAAGCGAGGACGAGCTGCAGGTCCTGATAGACTGACCCCTGAGATATTTAAGGATGGTGGTCCAGTTTTAACAGATAGGTTGACTGAGATCTTAGGTAGAATCTGGGAACTGGACGTAATCCCATCCGACTGGTCTCAATCACTGATTGTCCCAATTTATAAGAAAGGACAAAATTCTTCTTGACCCTGGACGTGGCTGTATAGACCACATTTTCACACTAAGACAGGTCCTGGAACACAGACACACATTTAGGCGTCCTACAATAGTTGTTTACCTGGACCTTAAGGCGGCATTTGACTCAGTGGATCGTGAGGTTCTGTGGCAGTGTCTGTCATTTAAAGGTGTACCAAAGAAGTACATTAACCTTATACAAGCACTCTACTCAAACACCACTGGTCGAGTGAGAGCTTATGGCGAACTGTCACCGGAATTCTCTACTTCAAGTGGTGTCCGTCAGGGATGTCCACTCTCTCCATTCTTGTTTAATTTTATCATAGACATGCTGCTAGAAATAACCTTATCCTCATCTGAATTTTCAGGAGTAGACCTTCTACCAGGTGGCTCGCTTATTGACTTAGAATATGCCGATGACATTGTCCTACTTGGTGAAGACGCTGACAAAATGCAGAGTCTTCTGACTACCCTAAGCAACAATGCAAGCATGTTCGAGATGCGGTTTTCCCCCTCGAAATGCAAAATGTTGCTTCAAGATTGGGTTGCATCGGCACCTGAACTAGTGATAGGGAGTGAAGTAGTCGAGCGAGTAGACCGCTTCACTTATCTCGGGAGTCTCATCAGTGCTGATGGCCTGGTGACTGACGAAATCTCAACACGGATACAGAAGGCTCGATTGGCTTTTGCCAACCTGCGTCACTTATGGCGTAGGCGAGATATCCGTTTGCTGACTAAAGGACGAGTGTACTGCGCAGTGGTTCGTTCCGTCTTACTTTATGGCTGTGAAACATGGCCAATGAGAGTAGAAGATACTCGTCGGTTATTGGTTTTCGATCATAGGTGTCTTCGAAGCATTGCTCGTATTTCGTGGGACACCCGAGTGAGCAACGCTGTTATTAGGAAACGGGTACTAGGTAAGAATGGCAGATCAATCGATGAAGTAATGAAACTTCACCAGTTGAGGTGGTTGGGACACGTGTTGCGTATGCCTAACCAGCGACTCCCTCGTCGAGCTTTGTTTTGTAGTGTAGGAATAGGTTGGAAGAAAGTTAGGGGCGGCCATACCAAAACATGGCAGAAATCCATGAAGTCATTGACAAGCGGACTAAGTCACGTCGGTAGTTGTCGAATTCCTGGTTGGGGTCCACGAGATGATAATAATCGATGGTTAGAGACCTTGAATGACATGGCTCAAAATCGTTCGCAATGGCGCTGGTGCATTTATTCTTTGTGTTCTCTCAAATCCTAATCTTCTGGGTTCTTCAACACCTCTAATTTTTACTTTCTAAACTTATCTCATTGAATCATACTTCTTGAATAATATCTTCTAATCCTAACCTCTTCGATTACTTCTAATACCTTTACTACCTCTTCTACTATTGGATTTGAATTGACAATTATATCTCTGTGCTGATGTGGTATGGCGACATGAACTGATGTACTTACGTACGAAGTTCTACGTTGCAACTGACTGACTGACAAGCAGTTTACGACCTATCGCTTTACAAAGTACGAAAAAGTGCAATCGAAATTCCAGAATCCTCGTTAAATGATTTACATGAAAGCTGTTCAATGTAACTACAGGGTTTCAATTTATCATCACGATCAAGAAATATGAAAAAGTTTGTAGGTGGTGGTGTTGGTGTAGATCAGTATCGATCTAATTTTGCATGTATTAAGTTTTCGAACAACTTATTGATGAACTGACTGACCCCAAGATGCCGTCCGAAACATTTGCATAAGGACAGCTGTATCTATGTCACCAATATTTTTACGACTCCAGAATGTGCCTTATATGCACTTTTGCTTGATCGATTCACTGAGTTGCAGTTACTGCTGATCAATTCATTGAACGAAAGGGCGTA